TAGCAGGAGGTAGTAGAAAAAGGCTGAAGTAGAATTTTGAAGGAAATCCCTAAGAAAGAAGCTTCCATTTGGAGATTTCAGGGCTCCAGCTTAGATCCAAGAGAAATTAGAGATTCGAGACAATAACGTAGGCAAGATTTTTCTCCACCTATATAAAGGTTAGATGGACTTTTTCATTGTTGTCTGGTGATGGAGAATTTCATTACCACCTCTATTACCCTTGGTTTAATTATTTCCATACCCCCACTCTCGCTACACGTCGCCCAACTCGTGAACTTTGACATATTTTGCACCGTGAACCTGTGATATTTGTGTTTTATTTCCAGGTCGTCAGTCCTCCGTATTGGGGAATGTAGAGGAGAATTAGATGTAATAGGTAATTTGGCATGGAGAAGGAAAGGTTTGAATTGTGTATGGTCAGTTTATTCGTCATGGACTGTCACAGACATCTCTTTAATATATAGATTTAGCCAAGCCTAAAAGCGGAGCTCTTGTTGATTTATTTTTTAGCCCCTCATAAAAATAAAAACTATAATAAAACTCTTCAGCACTGGCTGTAGGAGAGTTTCTTCAAGGGGATGAAGACCAGTCCGGGGGATGGGGAGGGAAGGGAAGAATTGGCGCGGTCTGGAACCCGGGGACAACGTTCTCACAACTTGCGATAAAACACATTCTAGTCAGCGGTATCTTCAAGCAGCTGAGGACCTCTGTTGTGGTTCTTAATGTGATCGATGAGCAAATTTTCGAAGATAGAGAATCTTTTCTTCTTCAGAGGAAGTGTGCGATGTCAGCATCAGTTGAAATTATATTCTTTTGAGCGTGACTGATAATTTTGGTTTGGGAAAATGAGCCAAAACTGAAAGAAACGACGGTAAACTACTCCGAGTCCAGACATCACCAGTCGATTGAAGAGTATAGACGTGATAACAGTGAATAAGTAAATCAAGACGCCAGAATCGTATTGGCTTCTCTTTTATCTCCTGTTGAAGTTTCCAGGTATGACTGCTTGTTTCATGATTCAGTCGAGTTCACTCCTTTTTGAGGCCATCTTCAGCTTGATCATCCTGTTACATGTGAAAACATCAAATGTTACTCACATATTCAAATACTTGCTTGAATCAAAGTTATAATTTTTTAATAACCTGCTTCCTTTAACAATTAATTTCTGATATTGACTAGCATCTAATTACCCCTTTCAATATCACCCCTGAATCAAACATTAAGGTTGTGAGAATAAAGGCAAGAATAATAAACTAAAGAACCTCTTGATTGTTAAACAAATTCTCCCTGCCAGCATATAATGAAGTGTATTGAGAACAGTATGGAGAATTGGCATGCTGATGTTAGGGTGCAAAAGGTTAATAGTACTTCAAAAATAGTAAATAGTGTTGGAGAGAAAGAAAGTTCTTGAAACATTCTATGTTAAATGAAACTTTGTTATGAATATGTTAGTTGCGACAGCAATGAAAACATCTGTGAAGCTACAATAACAATTACTTTTCCATGTAAACAAACCATGATGAAGCATGATATGGATAAATTTAATTTCACATAGTTTGAATGTATAATTCAAAATCTAGTAAACTTACTAGTGAATAGGAAAAAGCTCTATATGTTTTTCCTGCTTCTGTCATTCTAAATATCACAAATCAATCATGCCACTACTTTAGTGTGATTTTTTTCAAGATGTGTACTTTTTCTTATGGTCATCTATTTTTAGTATCCATCTTTTAACAGCTGACATCTGAGAAGAATCAAGTCCACACTGGTGATTTAACACATTGTAATCAAACCCTACAACTGATTAAATTTTATTTGATCAAAAACATGAAGGGCAATAGAGGAAGTTGGCTAGCACAATTCAAGTTTCCTTTCTTAAGTATTCTGTGATCATTTCTTCTACCATAGGGTAAAGTTTACAGTTTCCTTTATTTCATTGCCTTTTGTTCATCTGTTTGCTTTCATAACAATCTTAACTACTGTTGCCGACAAATGCAAGGAGCACATAAAATGTGTACAGTTATTAACACTTTAATTTCAGAGAGTGACTAGTATCTAATTTTTCCTTTCAATATCATCCCTAAATCAAGCATTAAGGTCATGAGAATAAAGGAAATGGTAATCAACCAAAGAACCTCTTGATTGTTGAACAAATTCTCCTTCCCAGCACATCGGGAAATGTATGGAGAACAGTATGGAGAATATGCATACTGATATTAGGGTGTAATGGGTTGAAGACATCAGGTAATCAGTTTTATATATGTAGAGTATTGCTTGAATAATTATTATAATTGTGGTGAGTGCAAGTGCCTGGTAAACATTGGTCTATGGTCTTCTATTCTTCCACCTTGGAGGGTGCCTTGTGTACATAAAAATTGAAGTTGAGTGCCTTACCAGCTTTTTTTGGCAACAAAGATCAACAAAGAACAACAGCCACACCAAAAAATATTTTCATGAAAGACATCTCTACAGTGGTAGGTACACACAACTGACATGTTTGAGTGAAGCATGTCAAGCATTAAGGTATGATTGTCAGTTTGCTTTTCATTTCTTGCAAACAGCTTATTTCTACCAGCTTTGAAAACTTCTGTATCCCTGCTTTCAAAGAAAAGCATTTCCCATGAATATTTAAACATTAAAGACATAAGCTACCAGCAACAGGTTTTTCCATTGTTCCATAACATCAGATTCTCATCCAATTTTTTTTTTACATTTGAAAGCATAAGAAATTTGTAATCATTACAATATAATGAAATCCCACATTTTAACTGTTTTAGTCCCACTAGTGACCTGGACAGAATTTCTCCCTACACTTTCAGTACAATCAGTACAATATCAAGCAGACGAGTAATGAGAATTTTAAAAAAAATATCAATTAGAGGATAATTGGTTGATCCAATTCCAAATTCTCCACACAAACATCACATGAATTGTATGGCAGACAGTAAAGAGAATTACTAATAAAATCTTGAAAGTTAAATGGTTATGTAATCATATGTACCAGAAAGACAGCAAATAAATGTAACATACTCCAGTAAAGTTTTCTTATGTACAATGAAGTTTCAAACTCACTGAAATTAAGTTGACTTCATGATTCAGATTTTAGTGTAAGAAATGTGTAATATCTCTTAACATGGATGAAAAGAGAATGCCATTTATGAATTTTAAAATAGTAAATGCAAAAAAACTTAAGGATGAAATTTAAAGAGACTGATGAAATATGGCATATCTATTCACTGAGATATTAATCACTGGCTGGCACACAGAGATATAAAAGAGGCTTTGTGAAAAAGACTAGGGCAATAAAATTAAAGGTTCAGGAGGAGCTTATGACATCAACTAGTTTACTGATGTTCTCACCTGAATTCAGTCTGTAAAGAGAACTCTGCAACACTTCTGTTTTATCTTCTCGCTCTTGAATTAAAACATAAAACTTAATTATTTGCAGGCAGGTTAAGGAGGAAATTAAAGGAATGGATATATGTTACATTAAAAGAAACCCCTTACAATAAAAATAAAGCAGAAGCATATTACTTACGTGTCTTTGCTTCTGAATAATGGGTATTTTTTTAAGCAATTATCTACATAATTATGTAAACTGGGTGCAATGTACGGTCGTAAAAGCAATCATTTTATTCTAACCTTCCTTCTTCAAGGGTGCCTTGTGTAAAAAATCAAGTTCAGTACCTCTAGAGTCATAAGCCGGGCTTTTGGGGCTACAAAATAATAAAATCAACGCGTTATGGCAGGTCAATTTATCGAGAGTCAATTAAATATAGTTTCCTAAAATCGTATGGAAAGTTTAACGTCTCCTTCACTTGTGTTACATATACGGATTTATCGTTGTAAATTACTGATGAAATTCCGAGAGTGTGACTCGATTAATTCAAAAGAAAATATCCAAGTAGATTACAGAAATGGTTCACAAGTTGTAAACTGATAATGCGTTCACAAAACCTCCCTAAATTATGGTGCCGATACGAATTTATCGTTCATAATCACTTATAAAATTCCAAAATTTTGCGCAGTCTGAAAGTGGGAACCCCTTGGGCAAATTATCCACTTTTCTGCTTCGAACTCTACGCTCCCCTCTCACGTTTTGCTGACAGAAAAGATCTGGCGCCGTTTAAGACAGCAAACATATCATGCGCTACTCGAAAAATACTTGGGCAAAAGGGAAGTGTTTTTTTTGAGCGATGTTATCCCAGGCATAGCTGTCGTGACTCCCTAATTAAATCACAAATTTCACAAATCACTGTCAAGGCTTTAGTGTGCATGCTTGCTTACAAGAGTTTTTGCATTTAAGCTTCAAGGAATCATTGAAAACCATATGAAAACATTGTGCATAAGCGATAACATTTCCCAATACCTTTTAAATGATTTTCGCATGCCTTTTACTTACACGTTAAACTTGTACAATATAGGTGTGAATAAAAACCTAGATTTTATCATTACAAGAGCCTGAGTACGTGCAGATATGCTTCTAGGTTTTTTTTAAGACTTCCGCCTTGTATGCCGGTTGTCTATCATTCGGGAAGCTTTTCTTTGTGTGAGAAAATGAACCTGTCATTCTTTCTGTGACTCTGGCGAACCCTCCTCATTATCAAACGGAAGTGACTCTTATAGTACCTATAACTTGTTAATATCAGTTTCCTGCGTTTTATGTTGGCGTTCTGGTGTTCTCGGCATCGGAAACTTATTTTGCTAAGTTATGCATTTTGTTTCGTTGAAACAATTAAGCTAGTTATGCATTTTGTTCAGTTGTGCCTTTTAAGTATTTTTGACTGTTTGAACTACTTCAGCCAATTAAGATAGATTATGAAATTTGTGAAGTTAAATTGTTCTCGCTGAAGTTTTGGTTTCGGTTTGACACGCTGCTGTTCCCGCGAACGCATTCAGTAGCGTGTCAAACTTGACTGACTCTGCTATCCGCTTGTTCCCTTGTTTTTTTATCATTATTATTATTATTATTTAATTAGGTGTTGAATGTTACCAGACGACGGCCACCAAATTATGCTCGACTGTTTTTTCAGAGTGATTGAATATATATTTATTTTTAACCGCAAAATATGACATCTGCGGCTTACAGAAACTACTACATGACTTACATCAGTTTACAGATTAAACGACGAGAGCCGAAATACTGTATGTTCTAAAAACAAGTTGTTTTGCGTGCCATTAGTAAAAGCTGATTTGTTTTTATAGTAATATATCGGGATTATTATAAGTAAGAATCGTTGGGACCTTGTTCACTACTGACTGTCTGCCAAGTTTTGACTTTAATGTAACCTCGATGTTTTGGTTGTGGTATGACTCTGTGTGTGATCTAGCGATGATTTTCAAATACTGACATTATCTTTGACCTTAAGGGCTTGGAATCCAGCCAGAGTCAGAATCCGCTGGCTTCTGTAGCATCCGGTGCAAGGCTATTTGTTTCTCCATGAAAAACAGGTAGGCAAATATAAATTGCTATCTTTGTAGCGTTGCTCCTAATTCTACTTGGTTAGTGTGTTGGTTTCCTAAAATATTTGACAGTCAATCATCTCCTTTTCCTTAACGGGCTCAAGACGAAATTACAATTAAAGCTGTTCAAGGAAGCTGTTCGAGAGATCACCCAAAGTAGGAGTATTTTCATCGTCATGATACTAAGTGCACTCCTGTTCAAAGCGATTCTTGTTGCTGTCCTAAGCTTTCTGGATAATTGGCACGCGGATGCGTGTTCAGGTTGGTGTGAATCCACGTTCATTCTTATCCGCTGTCAAGAATAAGGGTATTGTTGTTCTGAGTGTATCCTCAGCCTTATTCGGGAGAAACTTTATAAAATCTCTCGTGATCTCTAAATCCATATATTAAAGCAACTATAGTTTAGTCATTGAATTGAACATGACCGTGTGTACGTACCCAGATGAAACAATATCAAGATTTTTAGACTGAATGTGGATTGCTGCACATTAATTAATGATCTTAAACTAGAATAAGTCTATCATGGCCATTCAGGTAGCTCGTTAAAAAAGAATTCGCCTTACTTGCCTGGCAGCAAGGCCATTATATCATTATATCATACCCTTGATATCGAAAAAGAGTAGATAATGGTCCGCGTTTCTTCTTCTTCGCATTCGTAGGAATTCCAGGTTCAAAATAAAAATCCGGATACGCGCCATGTTTAGTAATTTTGACTCTTCCTATTCAAGCGGAAATTGACTGCATTCTGCATCTAAATTGGTTTCATTCAAAAGACTCACTCCATTTTCGCCAAACTTTGTGCCTTTTTGTCAAGAGGAGGTTATGAAGACGGGGATTTACGATCTTCCAAAAGAAAAGTATGAAATCAACAGCTAACAACTATTATTTCCATAAATGATAACGTCCTTGTGATAGCAACTATTTTGTTTACCGAGGAAGGTCTTAAGGATTGCAAAACAAACTCGAAAGGGAAAAAACTAGATCCATTTCAGCAACTCGATGATGTAAATGTATATCATTATCAATTTGTGCTTTGTGTCGCCAAAAAATGCTTTCGATATTGTCTCTTTCTCTGCAATTTTGGGATTTTCTAGTTACGCTACGTCGAATAAATTCACGTTTATCTTTGTAAACAAATTTTGACTCGACTGAACAATTACCCCACTGTCGTAGGCGAAAATGAAACTGCAAGATTCTTCCTGTATTTATTAACATATATTTCGATTATTAAGTTCTAGGTTCGCATCCTAAGCTTTAAAGAAAACAAATTCTCTGAAAGGCAGGGGTGCTGAAAGGCAAAATCCAAAACTCCTAATTAGACCGTCAACAAATTTTCATTCATTTAAATCGGACTGGCTAAGATTTTCAGGGTAATTTAGTGTTATCAACTGAGTTGATAATGTAAATTGGCCACCGTGAAGAGTTTAAAGGCTGACGTTTCGAGCGTTAGCCCTTCATCAAAGCGATTGACGCTATACTCTCCCACCGACGCAGCACTATAGTTTCTTTAGCAATTAACCCCCTTTATTCATTTGACCAAGATTTTTGCCTAATTCACAAAACAAAGAAAAGGACCAAATGGAAGAGCCGGTTACCCACTCTTCTATAGGGACGGCGTAGAGGAGAACAAAGCAAAAAAATTATCATTGTTTACTAATTAACCCCAAAAAAATCAACTCGTTGGCCGATGGGAGTTCCAGCCACTAACTCGTTGAGAGACGATTTTTAGAGATTTATATTCTAATGAAGCATAAATATAATCATTTCAGTTAGATAGCGAGCTGGTTCCATCTCGTGAAATAGGGTTCAAGTCAGGTTGTAGATCGCAACGCCCTACATTCTTTTTCGTTTGTTTATTTTTCTTGTGCAAGAGTGCTAATTGTGCGCTTTCTTTGTGTCATTGCGTAACGTTGCGTAACGAAGCATGTATTTAACCGTATTGTTCATCGTAGTTTGGTGCAGTTTTGCAGTGTAGTTTCGTATATTTGTTCTTTTCGCTTCGTGCAGTTTGTTCGCCACTAGGCAGGATCTATAACATAGCAACAAATGTAAGTTTTGTATCATGTAGTTTTCTTCGTTGTTTTCGTTGTACACTGTAAAATTAAAAGAGTTGATTTGGCACCAAAAATGGGGCCAAAATGAGTGAGTCCAGTTTGGCACTCGCTTAGGGTCAATTCGGCCCCATTGAAATGGGGCTGTTTTTGGCACCAATTTTGGGGCTGAATTGACCCCGTTGTAGGGGCCAAATTGGACCATGTGAAGGGTGAATTTGAAAAATACAGGGGCCACTTTGAAATTTATAGGGGCCAAAACAGCCCCCGAAATTTCAGCCCTCTCACAAATGGCCCCTTTAAAAAGAGCCAATTCAGCTCCAATGTGGGCCACTTCAGAAGTAGAGGGCTCTTTCCTCTCCATGCTGATTTTCCCCCTTACATTCAAATAATGAAAATACACCACATACTTTATCTTTCAAACACTCATTTATTAGGTTCTAGATATTGTTTATGTAAAAACCTTTTACGCTACCTGATTTTACAGTTATTACGAATCTTAATTGTGGTATAAAACAGACAAACTTTAAAACATCATGTGAAAGAATATAACATACATACATATTTAACATTAATTCAACCATTTTCTAAAATAGATCTCTTCCCTAAATCAGTATACTTCTTAACAGTGCAAGCATTGCAAGAAATTACACCCAAGAGACACTTGTGAGTAAAGCTTCCCTTTCAATGACTTAGCAAATGTGGTAATGTAAAGCAACTTATAATTAAGACTGATTTAAAGTACAGAAAATTATCAAAATAAGACAGAGGCAACAAATGGTCCAGTTCCTGCACAAGAATATAGATCTTGTTTGATTTGTGCATATGAAAAACAAAGAGCCTTAGAGCAGCAAAGAGTATTCTTCCAGTGGATGTGAGAATACATGCACTCATATTGCTACTTTAGATATTATCAAAATATAAACTATCAGCAAGTACTACCACAGTATTTGCCAAGTCATTGAAAATAGAGGAAACAGTGACAAGAGTCTGCCTGTGCCCAATTTCAAGCAATGCTTGCTCTAAAAAAAGTCCAAATTGCCTTTGACCGATTGTAAGAAAATATAAATGAGCCAAGTAACCCAATGAGAGCATAAAGAATCTTTTCTTGTGAGAAGTGACAAAATTACACTTCCCTCTGTTACTATATTCAGGTAATTGATGTATTGAAGATCTCCAACAATTAAAATTTGTGCTGGACATAATCTCTGATTGCTGAATCAACATCAGTTACTCTATGCAATAAAAACAAGTTTTACAACCACATTAAAATCAAGCCAAAGTACAAAAAGTGCCTGTAGCCAGAAAAAAAAAAGAATATATATATACACACTTAAGTTAAAGAATTAAAGAGGACGCATCAATTCTCTGTGACTAAGTTTTGTGCCTAAGCGCTTGTCAGACAGAAAAGTTCTGTCTGACAAGCGCTTAAGTGCGAAATTCAGAGTCACATAGAACTGATGTGTCCTCTTTAATTCTTTAACTTATGTATACTTAGCTCTGCTACCACAGCATTGAGCACTTTATGCCAAGGTAGACTCTACCCCCACATTTACATATATATATATATTGTTTTTCTAAAACTACAAGCTAAAACACCAGAAATGGAAGTGGAAGTTTAGCTCAATGTGTGTAATTTGTCTCCCATTCAAGACTTGAAAAACTAATGTATGACTCCCAAAATATCTGAAAAAAATCAGCTATTCTATGTCCAATATTTATCTAATGGTTTGACAACAGGACAACAAAAAGGCAAAATTAATACAACCCCAAAGTACTTGAACCTTTGTATCTAGACTTCATTGGCAAATGGGCTCAGAAATTTTAGCTGTTCATCTTAGTACCAAAGTAGCAGTTTTTTGGACTTGTACCTCCAAAATGGTCACAACTTCATTAAATGCATGTGATGACAAACACACAAGAACAAAGGTCATGAACTTAAAAGGTGAGTGATTATTTTGCAACTTTTTAGTTTAAGGCAAGAGATTCAGCACCACAAAATTGTCTCTCTTCACTGCGAGCAGAAGAGGTGAAGCAATAGATTTTTAGACCATACCAATCCATTCAGTTTCCAAGTCAACTTAGTCTAGTATCCTGCTAACCATACAAGGCTACTCTGCAATAATTTTTTTTTGCAATCCACTGTTGCTCAGAGTACTTTAGGTTGCTGATGAGATATCCCTTCTGGGTATCCAACTCTACTGAGGCAGAGAACTGTACAAAAAAAACAAACAAATGAGCAAATTAATTTGTTGTTGGAGAACAGTAAATTTTTGCAACTACAAAGTTGCAAAATATTTGTAAGCAAACTGTGCATAAGAAGTAAAAACACAATAATGGTGATCATCAATGATGTATTTTCACCAAACTGAATATGTGCTTATCAAGAAAAGAAATCATACCTCTATGCACTTCAGTTTTAGTTCAGTATTCATGAATAAATAAGGATTGCTTGTAGACTTAAAAAACAAAACAAAGAAAAGTTTCTTACCCTCGATGGTAGTTGGAATTTTGAAAGCCATTCAGGAGGAACCTGTAGGTAAATATTTGTTTTCAAAAAAATTAAACTGTCTGATAACATCCTATCAATTCACTAATTTTTAATTTACCAGATTTAAAAATTGGGTTTACTTTGTTTTTATATGCATGGTGCAAGTAAATACATATCTAATATATTTCAATAAAAATAAAGCAAATCTCGCCATTTTTGTAGGTGCAATCCCCGAGATTTGTCATCTTTAACTGACCAACTGGCACCTTGTGTGTTTTCCTTTAGGATATAATCGAAAGAAAGTAATCGATAATGTACTCTTCACCATCCTGCTAAGTTTAATATACAAGAACTTACTTAGACAGTGCTCAGTTCTGTCGCCTCGTCCGTAAAACAGAGATCCTTGGGCGATTTACCCTTTTCTTTCGGTGCCAATGTCACCTCTAAATTTTCATAATCGCTGATGTTATATGAATCATCAATCGACGTTTGAACCGTCTTACTCGAAGGACTTGATTCTGCACGCTGAAAGAGTGAGAGCCAAAAATCAGCTTAAGTGGATGCAGACAAAGACATAGACATAAAAATATCAGTTCATCTTTTCAAGAAAAAGATTAAGAATTCAGAGTGAGAGATCCTAAAATCAGAGGATCTTGAAATAAGTTAAATCCATCTTGTGCAAATGCAGTATTCGAACTGTAACCGTCTATATCTCTCGGCGCCAAAATTTGATCACGTGACTTTAGTTGCGAAACCGCTGAGACTCAACAAGCAGGTAATTTACTGTTAACAACTGGGTTGAAAACGTAAATTAGCCACCGTAAAGGGTAAAAAAGCTGACGTTTCCAGCGTTAGCCCTTCGTCAGAGCGATCGACCCATCGCTCTGACGAAGGGCTAACGCTGGAAACGTCAGCTTTTTTACCCTTTACGGTGGCTAATTTACGTTTTCAACCCAGTTGTTAACACTAAATTACCTGCTATACTCTCCCACCGACGCAGCACCACAGTTTCTTTAGAAACTTACCCCTTTATTCGAGACTCAACAAGACTCGGGAGAAGAGGCGAATCATTCATGCGTCAAATTCTCTGGTGGGAAATTAATTATCGTACCGACGAAGAACTCGTGTCATCTCTAGGTTCAGCGTTCATTGCAATCAATTTCTTGAGTTTTAGACGCTCTTTTATAATAGGGATGTAGTGCCTTGGTACGTCTGCATCTTGGGCGATGGCAAGGAGAACAAAGATCAATGGAGCGGTCAAGTTTGTGAATGTAAAGTTGCAGTAAAATACGTTGTTAAGAAATTTCTTTTGCCTACCTTTCCTTTCTTAAGTCTCATTCCATGCGACTGTAGCCAAGAAACAGCCTCTTCAGTGACGAATTCGCTGCTATAATTCATTGTTTCCGACGCACGTGGTCTAGGTTCGACTAATGCCATCACAGGCAGCTCACGCTCACGTCTCGAGGAAAAGCCAACGATTAATTCGTTGTGTGACTCGGTGTTCAGTTACGAGAGGAACCGTTGAAAATTTGAACACTTTATAAGGAATAGTATAGGGAACGAAATATGGTCGAAAAAAGAAAATTATATTTTCTTTTTTTTTCAAAAATTGCACCTCGTTGGGGCCAAATTGGTCAATCCTACTTAGCTCTTGGAAGGGCCAAATTGAGAAAAAGTTCCAAAGTAGAATTCATAGGGGCCAATTCAGATTTTGGAGGGGTCGAAATGGTACCTGTCCCGCCCGTTTTGGCTCAAATAGTCCAAAACGAACCTTGATGGGCCAAACTGGCCCTCGAGAAATTGGGGCCAATTTGGCTTTTGGGGTCAATTTGGCTCTTTTCATTTCACAGTGTAGCTTTCCTTGTGTATTTAGTCTAGTTTATATTGTAAGAGTTATCGTTCGCTGTTTTATTTGCAGTTTTAACCGTACCGTGTCGTTTCGTTCCGCGCTAAAAATTGCGCTAGAATTAGTTAGTATTAGTCGCCAGTGGCAGTTACACAGGTATCATCGACTTTTTGACAGCTTTTGTTAGATTTTTTGCTTACCCTGTAGGCTCTCACTAGCCAAATCATCGCTATATTCAAAAACTTGATCAGGTACATGGAATAAAGATTGATAGAACGCGAATTAAGATTATTAACGTACAACACCAGGACTTACGAATTTTCTTTCATTGGAAAACTGGAATTGACAGAAGTGGAAAAATCATCATACAGGGCAGGTTACCGGTGTTTATGGAAGTATGTGAACTTCATAACGTATATTCTGAAATGTGACCTGTCAGTCAGTATATAATTATGATAGTATCGGCGATGGAAAGTGACGCAGTCAGCTGATAGCTGCGTCACAGTTATGTCAGGGTTGCCGCATTTTCTGCGTCAGGGTAATTTTAGGGGATTCTACAAGGGAAAAAGCTTTATACATCGGTTCCCAGTATTTGTTTCCGCGTTTACTCGCCTGATGAGGGAGTCGTTAGTAAGAACACTGAATTTAATGTGTAATTTTTATAGGATTACCGTTACCTCTTCCAAGCATTAATATTGCAATTGCAGGTGTTCGAGTAATGTGGATCTTAGTGATGGATCAGGAGGGCATCTTTGGTGTTTCGGGTGGAATTCACAAAAATGTTGCTTCTTTTTCAGTTCCTTACATTCGTGAAAAGAAAAGAAACGAGATAAAAGTCATCGAAGTGACCAGCGGAAAGGATGTTAAACTCACTTGCCAGATCAGAACCGTTGGTCAGACCTCAAAACCAAGGTATTACTGGCTCAAAGACAATCAGACGCTCATTCCATCGAATCATCAACGTCTGAGGTTAAAACCCTACAGATCCCTAAAGATAAAAAGAGCTAAGAAAGAGGACACCGGCTTCTACACGTGTGTCGCAGTAAATGAGTGTGGCAAGAATCCTTTTACAATGCACCTAGTTGTCGGAAGTAAGTAAACATTTGGGACCATCTGAGTTTTTTTAAAAGTACAAGTACGCACGTGATTTCTAGCGATATCCTGGGGAGTAGAAAGAAAGAGGACACCGGCTTCTACACGTGTGTCGCAGTAAATGACTGTGGCAAGAATCCTTTTACAATGCACCTATTTGTCGGAAGTAAGTAAACATTTGGGACCATTTGAGTTTTTTTAAAAGTACAAGTACGCATATGATTTATAGCGGTATCCTGGGGAGCAAAGTTCTTTTATACTAGTTGTGTGCGACAAACTGAGGTGATGTCAGTTAAAGTAGGAGTTGCTAAGGTAGGCAAATAAGAAGGGAAAAGGTGGTAATTTCATACTTGCCATCACAAAAAGTTATTTCCGACGAAGGTGCAATGTTTCCTTTACCATTGCTTAAAGTATTTAACTGAGACAGCTGGGAGTTCAAAATCCTGTCAGGACGTGAATAGAAAGATTCAGATGTGTGTGGCCTCAGATAATCTGCATCACAAAAGCATTTTCCATCTAGATAATTTCTTGTGTTTTTCTCTTTAAGGTCCAACACTGAATCCCAACAAAACTACAGTAGGAGGTAAGACAGATGTGCTTTCATTTCTAATTGGAAGAAATTAGTGAAAGATGAATATAGAAGCAGTTTAGTTGATACAGGAGCCGATATTGATGTTCTTTGAAATAGAGAAAAGCAACCTTCCTCTGGAAGACAGTCTCAATGGGGTGATGGCTTTTACGGCTAACGTAACGTTACGGCTAATTTTGGCCAATCTACGGCTAACGGCTAAATTTTTGGCTGTTGTAAGGCTGTAGGATAACTCCATTAACACCCTCCGAGAAGAAAACTGATGATGAAAAAAAATTATCAAGAAATTATAATCCCTTGAAAAAAAATTAATGAAGTGTTGAAGCTCATCTACAAAGCCCATCAAATGAATCTTTCAAGTTAAGATTTTGTACATCCGATTAAAAAATATATATTTTGGCAATCGCATATGTTATCCAGTAAATTTCATAATTTTTCTACGCTTTGTGCGTTAAACATTGACTCGGGAGCTGAGACGGCCAAGATCTGATTGTTAATTATCCTCTTTAGCTGCTACACGCATTTCCTTATAAATGCCGGAGGAACGAGAACTTGGTGTTAGTTACTTCTAAGTGATAAGTTTGATTATTCTCATTGCCTGTTTGCTGGATAATGTATGGATATTATACTAGGAGAAATTACATGTTAATCACTTGTGGGAGTTAAAGGGCAAACAGGTTATGGGTCAGAGTGACGTGTTACAGTGAAACCTCGATTTAACGAAATGCCAAAGGACCGGGGAAATTGGTTCGTTACATCGAGGGTTCGTCATATCGAAAACCTTGATTTAACAAATTTGCGGAAAAACAACTAAAATGTTCGTTATGTCGTGGCATGGTTAACAATTTCTTTCTTTTTCTTCTTCCTTTTTTTTTTTTTTTTTTTAAGGGGTGAGGTAGCACAGGAATCGGAGCAATTATTGTAAATTATATTACTGCTTTAATGTCTATGTGCAGAATTATTTTTAAAAACATTTTTTAAAAATCTAAACTACTGAGCAGCACTTTGCGAACAGTAGTTTTAAAACTTTTTAATTCTCCGACGCGTTTCGTCGAACTGTCGTAGACTTGAGGGAGTTTTACAAGTTAACACGAAACGCCTGTAGTTATAAACCATAGTCAGCGGCTTTTACTGGGGCCAATGACCATATAGGCTTGGCTGGACTTACGAACAGGAACAGGCGAAGTTTTGAAAAAATTTGAACACTTTTAAAGCAAGGATAGAAAAATATGTAGGGGCCACGGTTTAAAGTTAGTGCTAACTTGTCAAACTTCCTGAAGAAGTCCACGACAGTTAGACGAAACACGTCGGAGAGTTAAAAAGTTTTACAACTACTGTTCGCAGAGTGCTGCTCACTAGTTTAGATTCTTAAAAAATGTTTAAAAAATAATTCTTCACATAGACATTAAAGCAGTAATATAATTTACAGTAATTGCTCCGATTCCTGTGGTACCTCACTCCTCCAAAATATTTGAGGAAATTGCATTTGCGAACGATGTCCGCGCGATGAGGCCCTTTCAATGCCGCCACAAATGTCAAAAAAAATGTAACTCTTAAAGAGATTCAATCAACACTTTATTCACAGAATACAGTTATCAATGTTACATGCATGACTTCATTCAGTTACATTACAATCAATAAATCCTTGCCGCAAACAGCAATATGGCTCAATCAGCATCAAGCAATCCTGCCCTCTTGATTACCAATAGTGCCCACGTGATTAAGAAAAAAATACTCTCTGTCTCAGCAAATCTGCATTCAATAATTTTGCCCTGCATGTGATAAAACTCTGAACCATCATCAAAAGTTCAGTACTGTAGAACACTTAAAATAAAATAATGTTTAGACTCTAACTTGAAATGTGTTAGTAAGGGGTGGCTTCTGGGCAGTTGTCGAGAAGTTCAACGCTCAAATGCTGTGGCTGTTCTGCGCTTCACAGCTGCTCCAAGATTTACGGTATCGCAAAATAAGATGAGGCGCAACCTTCTTCAAGTACCCGTTGGAAACTCTGTAAAGCTGGACTGTTCTGCTGACGGAAACCCTCGTCCTACCGTGAAATGGTACAAAGACGGAAACTTGTTTAAAGAAAGGAGAAGTGGCCACAAACTGTCTTTGAGTCCATGGACAACCTGGTTGAGTCTGAAGGACTTGGTTCCCTCTGACACTGGGTCATACATGTGTAATGTGAGCAACTCATACGGATGGATTAATCATACATACAAATTAGACGTTCACGGTAAGAGGAAAAATCCTTCAAATTTTTCTAGCTGACACAGACTCTGAAGAGTACTCACGGTTTTCTTTATCTGAGAAAAAGAATCTTCAAACTCTTGTGGTCAATATAAATCCCATTTAAAAGGCAAATTAAAATAAACATTACAAGTAACGAAACAATGGATGTTTTGGGGTTACATTGACAGTATTGACAGTATTCTCTTTTTAATTTTTTAGAACGAGCTAATGCTGAACCAGTCGTTCTACCCATGGAAAATGTCACAGTTTATCGAGGAGAGAATGCCAGCTTAACATGCAAAGCATTCAGTGATTCCATGCCTCATTTCCAGTGGTTAAGGTGGTTTCCTGTGCGTTCCAACGGTTCGGCCAACAGTTCGGTAAAAGGTTCAATTGAAAGTCCTCACTACGAAATCGTGAATAAAGAAGACAGATACCAACGTGTAGTTGTACCACCAAGTGGTAGCAAAATGTTTGATTTCCACGGAGTGAAGTTGACTTTGTTAAATGTCACAAAGAGGGACGAAGGAAAATTCACTTGCATTGTGGGAAATGCTGTTGGTTACGCAGTCGAACACGCTTACATCGTTGTCCAAAACATCGGTAGGTTAAGCCATTATTAGATTACTAATTCTTCATAATTCTTGTTATCAATTACTTTTATTATTATTATTATCAGATTATTAGGGGTTTTCTGTGATGTGCTTATAGCAGCTCTTTTTCTTACCACATTTTGACGTCATCTGTGATATGTTATTGAACAGACGCACGGCAACATGGAATTTATTTGTTAACCCTTTAACCCCTAAGAGTGGCTAGCATCTAATTTCTCCTTATAATATCACCCTTGAATCAAACATTAAGGTGATGAGAATAGAGGAAATGATCACCAACTAAAGCAGCTCTTGATTATCAAACAAATTCTCTTTGTCAGCACCTTAGGAAATATATAGTGAATAGTGTGGAGAATGTGGATACTGATGTTAGGGGGTAAAGGGTTAATTCGTTAGGTGTAATTCATTTTCCATGAAGCCCTTGTAAACAGCTTTCTTTTCTTGAGAGTCCCCTTCGTCTCGGGAATCACGGAGGGTCGATTTTTTCACGACTACGTGTTGTGTTTGCTCGAAAGAGCTAGCGCCACTAAGCGGCTTAGGTTTGATTTGGGTTTACAGCACTCAGTTACAGTGTTTGTATCGTGACTCACTTGGATGTTAATAAATCAAACGCGGGCCAACTGAAAAAAGTGACTGCTTAATGATAGCGGATCATTTACTGAAAATTGTTTCCAACCGAGCATAACTTATTTTTTTCACTTTTTTAATTCGTGAAGATAAAGCAAAACCAAATGAAGCTCAGCGAACTGAAAGCACCACAGATGGTAAGTGTAGCCGTGAAAGACGGACGTGATTCATTTTTTAAAATAACATTTGTAATTTCTCTATCTCAGAAAAAAAAGAAGCACGATCTTTCACATTTCTGGTACGTATCTAAAAGACCGGTTATTATTCGTCGTCCTGGGAAGGGGGGGAGGCACCCTGGGGAGGGGGGCTTCCTGGAAAGGGGGGGCTTGGATGATTTTGTCTGCGTCACGATAAAATTCACCTGACTCCCTCTCATTGGCAGTTAATTAGCAGTCAATTTTTTGTAGTCCCCCCCCCCCTTTGTACTTTGGCGACTAATGCTGCCCCTCTGTTCCCCCTGAAAACCATGTGATCCACCCTCAAAATCCTCTACCCCTAGCTCTAGGCTGTAAATTATGAATGGTCGCCAGGTGTGCCAATTGTTAAGCATGCACACGCCACGTGGTACACCACGTGCGCACTAAATATAAGAAAAGCTCATGAAAATCTTGACTGATGGTTGCTGCAAATAAGGATGACCATATTTTCGTTGGATGCACCTTTGTATTTGTGGATCTCTTCCTTTCATGATTCTTTCCATCTTGCCGAGCAAATGAAACACTGAGATGCGTTATAACATGTATCAAGAAGCCTTCTAAACGGAGCTTAATTCTGGCTTGAGGGAATGACTTTGGTATCAAACAGAATTATCGAAACGTTTTATTTCCTGTAAAAAACACACAACGCCTATCTCAAAGAATTTTTGAGGGATTTGTTGAAGGTAAAGTTCCCTTGTCGCATTTGGCAAAGACGAGCTCAATACCAGTCGAAACCAGATTTTTTACCATTTTTTGTTACGACGACTTCAATTACTGATAACCTGTAGATATTCATTCGTTACTTGCTGTTTCGTCACCCTCAGATCAAACCAACTACTTACTATTTGTAGTCAGATCCCTTTACGCGGAACTACCTACTGAAATTTGTCTTGCTTCGTAGCTCAATAGGTATTAGCGCTCATTTGATATTTGAGAGTAGGTCTGTCCTGATCGTGTTCAGCAACATTTGAGCAACTTTTGGCGTTTGGAGTAACTTTTTGCGGTTGTAGCAACCTCGAGGAATTCTCGCCTTTCTCGACAATTTTTGAGCAAAATATAAGTTTAGAGCACATATAAAGGACGAAAAAATCAACGATTTCATAGAAAACTTCAGTTTACACGAATTTCATGAATTGTTTGTTAACTTTTTGAACACATAACTTGTCACGTGACAACATTTCGCAGGCCTATTGAGATCCTTATCTAAGATTTTAACAGATAATCGGCTAAAATGACTTTCGGAAAGACGTCAAATGAACCATGTGTTTTGTTCCGTTTAACTAAAGAGTATTCTTAAATTTCGCCCATATTTGCAAGCAACCCTTTGAAGCTGAGTTTCTTGACCGGTGTTTTTAGCAACTATTGTGAAGGCGAAAGTAGTGAAGTAGTGCTGGGGGAAAGGAGGGAATTCATTCAAGATGGAGAGATAAATATGTTTGGTTCATTCTTGTGTAGGTTCTACTGTTAACCTGACATCCATCAGTTCTGAAAGTGAAGCAGTTACGCAGACGTCAATGGGTTGGACTGATAGAATAAGGTACCCGGCGGCTGTAATCGCAGTTTCAGTGGGCGTGGTCGTTATGTTGATCATAGCTTCCGGTCTCTGTTATTGGCAGGCGAAGAAAGGCCGAGCGAGCTCGTCCGCAACGATGAAAGGCCGACACAACATCGATTCACTTCAAGCGAAGCACGTAGTCCAGTCAAATGAGTACGTAATAGTGCCAGACCTAAAAGGACTCGGAAATGATTTTGGCACTAACTGATTGTAGATAAAAAGCCACATAAAAGAGGAACTCAAAAGTAAAGTTAAAAGAGAAAAGGGACCGAGGGGGGAAAAATTACGGCAAGACATCTAAAATTGCCCGACACGAAGAGTAGTTATCACTTTGTTCCATCTATTTGGAAATCGCATAATACAGTCGCTCAAATATAGATTATTTCAGTCTCTACAAACATTTTATTGATTCAGTGATGAGCTGGTTTGGAAAAAGTTGTAAAAGCTGTCTTTCATTTTCCTTGCGATTTGATGGATTTCTTTAAATAAGCCTTGAATGATTGATGTGTTTTAATAAAGTTGTCTCATTGGCTTGGAAAAAGATGCGATTTAGAACATAAAGTGGTGTGATTCGTGGATAAATCGCACGATGAGAGCCTGTCAGATTGCAAGGATCACAACGGACTTCAAAATGGATGTAACAAACATAGTAAATTAACCATGAGCAGAATTTCAGTTTAGCAGAATAAATGAATAAAACTGCATACCCTCAAAGAAACACAAAAGGGTTTGTCAGGCTTTGTTCAAATTCAATTCTTCAGTTCAGTTTCGATTAGTTTTTTTCTACAACCGTCGAAGGGAAAGGATCAACGTTTTAGTTGTTAGAACCAGTTTCCTTACCGAAGGGACCGCTCTTTTTTGCAGCATGTTTGGTCTCGTCACGCAACGATAGACGGCTTCAAGGAGATGTTAGTAGGAAACGGTGCTCACACCATAAGTGTTCTTTCTTTGACTTATTTCCTCGTGCGTTTCAATTTCATCCATAGTTAAAATGTTATTTTTGATTGATTTTGGTTGAAATAAAGTACATTGAGGGTTTGAAACAAGAAACGTCATGATGTGAATCGTTAATAAAAAAAAATGCAGTAAGAACTAGTATAGCAAACCTTTGTGTCAGTAGGCATCTGAGTGCTAAGAATGGGAATATCAATTCACTGAATGTTTATCACAAACAGAAACTTAAATGTGTGTAAAGGACTAACATTGTTGAGATCAGTAGCAGAGAGGAAGCATTTCTGTCCTCTTCCTTTAACCCTTAAATACCTAAGATCTGATTCTTAATTCTCCGTTCTAGTTGCTACACATTTACTTGTAAATAAGTTATGAGAATTTCATGTAAGATCGAGATAACTACTGCTCGATGAGTTTCCGTATTATCATTATCTGTTTGCTGGATAGTGTTTGGATATTATAGGGAGAAGTTACATGAATCAGTCACTTTGGGGAGTTTTTAAATTGTCTAATATTTTGGTCTGATTCTTTCAATGCTGTCTTGCCACCTAATAAATTACCATGAGTCGCGAACTGAAATCGTTTTCAATGTATCACGAGCATAAGTTGTCTTGGGCCAGATGAGTTTCAAAATATTATGACATCAGTTAGTTACAGTTTCCTTCATGGGTTGATAGAAAGAAGGGTTATAATCAAGTGGTTCTATAGGCTCTATTGTATAGTTTCCCATAAGATATAATGTACAAATGGCAAACTAAATTACATCTTGGTAAACAAAATGGGAACAACTTCAACTGAAGAATATGGTACAACAACAAATACCACATCAACAACAGCAGCAATAACAAATCTCCTCTACCGAGATGGCTGCAGCCTTTGCCTCGCTTTCTAAGCCATTCTGAACAACTTCTGTGGTGCTTCCTGTACTGCGTTCCTCTCAACACGATGTGGCGATATTCTCGTGAAACAACGGGGTAATCGTAAAGCTGAATGAAATTCATCTCAGGTAAATTCCGGAGACCGCTCGACCATCCAAGGGCTGAAATCCTTACCATAGTTGCTTCGTATCTGAAGTCGCTCTGCTTTCGTTCTAGGTCCTGGACATCTGTAAGAAGTTCTCGGTTTTCTCCACTACTCGATGGAAGGATGCGTCACATCAGCAAAGCATAAACTTTCGACACTAAGTCGGTTCTAATTCCTCCCGTCGATTTTGAATTGGATTTTAAAATCTCCCTGAGATCTTTTGTTTCGAGTTTCTGGATGTCATCTAATGACGAAATTTCTATATTGTTGAAGAGAGAAATCGCATTGAAAAGTGCACAAGAACGTGAAGTGTCAGCAGATCAGCTGTTTGAAAGAACCGCCGAGTCAACCCCAGCCTCGTTATCGTGTGTGCGCGGTTACTAATTCAATATGGCGCCGGGAACTGTAAAAAGAGAAGGTCAATTTTTCACAGTAACTCCCTCCACGGGAGTTACTACATCACGAGTGGGGGATGAAGAAAAGACCGAAGTACGAGTGGTCAGCGGGGAAACAAATTTAATACTTCATATAGAGACATATCAGTTATAGTTGCGGAAAACAATAGTGTTGTAAAGCCGAAATATCAACAGTATACTTCGCTAAATAAAATGTTAAGCAATTTTTCAAAAGTGTTGATGGCACATATATCTTTTGCTGCTGTATTAAACAATAGAGGCATCGGAAAAGGCATCGGTGGCATCCGGAAAGGCACCAAGAATAATTATATTTACGTTTTGTAACTTGTTGCGTGACGAAAAAAGAAAACAAAAACCGTGGTCCCCAAATGAATTCTCCCACCTTGCGCCAAAAAATTTTCAAATTTTCCGCAACTTCACCTTTTCCTATTCGTAGGTCCGGCCAAGCCATTATGGTCATTGGCTCCCGTATAGCCACTAACTATGGCCTATAAATACAGGCGTTTAGTGTTAAATTGTAAAACTCCCCGAAGAAGTCTACGACAGTTAAACGAAACGCCTCAGGGAATAAAGAAATTTTACAGCTACCGTTCGTAGTTCCGTCCGTTCGTTTAAAAGAATTTTTTTTTTTAAATTTGGTACCATAGCTGTGGTCAGTTTTTCCATGCAGCTTGTCTGGATGTACCTTTCGCAGAGACGTGGGGGGGGGGACAGAGACACCAACATTTCACCTGCCGTTCGCTTCGAAAATTAAGTTTTCATCCCGAGTTCATTTGTTAAATAAAATAGGAAAAAAACACTTCGAACGGATAACAGAATTATTTGAACGCCTGGATCTTCTAAAAAAAGGTCTCCTAAACGAGTGGCCCTGATTATATTTAAGCATGGTAAACACGTTAGCCTTAACTTGGCTGTTTCTCGAAGCTCAGTGTTTTCTTACATGTAATAATATATATATAATATATATATTAATAATATATATAATAAACACTAAAAGAACTACAGCTGATGGAAATTTAAAATTTCTTATCTAAAGGCCGTGGAAACAAACTTATTAATGACTCAACATATAGAAATCTAGAACGAAATTTTTTTAGAGTTGCTTAGCTTTTCATTTTTCCGGAATCGAAAGTCGAGATTGCAAAATTCAAGTGAAAAGCAAACCGACTGTGATTTACGCCTTAAACAAGTCAAGATACTTTTTTCCGTCATACAACAAGTTACATATCGTAAATATCATTCTTCTTGATGCCTTTCCTGGTGTCACCGATGCCTTTCCCGATGCCTCCATTGGTTAATATAACAGTAAAAATATTGTTCCAGTCAAAGCGTTTGGAAAATTGTTTAACTTTTGAATTAGCGAAGTATAACCTGGTAACATTTTGGCTTTACAATACGATTGCTTTTTGTAAGTTACAAAACGTAAATATAATTATTCTTGGTGTCTTTCCCGATACCTCCATTGTTTAATACAGCGGTAAAAGATATATGTGCCATCAACACTTTTGAAAAATTGCTTCACATTTTATTTAGCGAAGTATACTGTTAACATTTCGACTTTACAACACTATTGTTTTCCGCAACTACAACTGATATGTCTCTATATGAAGTATTAAATTTGTTTCCACGCTGACCACTCGTATTTCGGTCATTTCTTCATCCCCAGCTCGTCGCCCGAGATGTACTAACTCCCTATTTCCACCAACTCGCTCTCATGGGCTTTTGGCGGAACTTCATTAATTTCAAGGTTTTTGGCGTGAAACCCTGAACAGTTTGAACTCTCAGGATTTCCGGAGCTCGACAGAAACACCATCTTCCTCGGGATCCTATTTACTATTTACGCAAGGTAAGGAGAAAGAAATTATTTAAAATACAGTGTTGTTTTTATCTCATTTTCTGAACGTTTGTGCTCATTACAAAGTCAAACTTTGTCTCGTGTATATTGACGGTCAAACAATCGTCCGGATACTCGACAGAGCAGAAGAATGAGTAATTTCTTAATTCGTCTTGTGGTTAAGTCCTAGCACCTTTGATCTCTCTAGGAAAAACACTGTGTTAGTGCTTGACCGATGTAAGATGTTTTGACTTTCCTAACATCCTAATTTAATGTTCAATTCCCCTGCAGGGCTTGACGTCAAGGCGAAGGTGGCCCGCACGTCTTCTGATCTACTCGAGTAAAAGGCATATTTTACCGCTAGAAAATGGTTCTAGCATTTCATCGCCGGAGTGGTTTTCTCGCCGTCTTTATTCTTGCCGGAATTTCTGCGATTGAATCTCAACAATCTGGAAGTAGGTTTGTGTGACAAACCTTACGTACATCTCTAGATTGTGTTTCTTTTGTGCGTTTTATGAATGCGTTTTATCATCATAGAATTCAGACACTGAGACAGGTCATGCCGCTTAAGATTCTCAGTGAAATGTTTGATCGATGAGTAACGCGCCAAAGCAGAATTTTGATGTTAAAAACGAAGTCCCCGTTTTAAGTCGAGTGAGACTCTCCTCTGATAGTCAAATGTGTTCGAATCTTACCAAAGAAAAGTGTTACAATTTTATGCGCGAATTTTTGGTTCGCTTTTAAACCTTATCGGCTCTTTGTTGCGTCTCAAATTTTGTTATCGCACACAGGTAGTGGCAGTAATAATATTTATTGAAAAAACTTAGACATATGTTTCCCAGCGTGATTTTGACAGTCATCCAACAGTGGGATCCTTGGAGGCAACTATCGAAAATGATTTCGATTACCCAATTTATTTAAAAGTTTTAAAGAAAGGCATGGTAGAAATTTAAGTTATTGTGCTCTTCATCGTCCAGAACTCTTGATTCTTTGCTACAATACTTCTTCGTGAACATTCGATCAACAATGGGTTCGTTTGCAAAGTAGTGCGTGAAATTTCAATAGCTTTGTTCAATATTGGTTTACAATACAAACGGATTGTTGTTGATTTTTTACACCATGATGTAGCGGAGTAACCGGAAAGTTCGAACACGGGTTAATTTTGAGGTACTGTCAGAATCCAAGGCTTCTTGGTGCAAGTTGCATCTGAAAGAGCACGTACACATTATATTTTCTCAACATGACCTCTAAAAAAAAAGACACAAATAGCATACAAGCCGGAATTTCGCGGGTCGTGTTACAATTTTTGGTTCGATTTCAGCTCAATTTCCTAATTTATTGCGATATTAGCAAATTTTTATATCATTCCGTCGCCGTTTCGTTCTAATCGTTTGAGTTAATTTGCAGTTGTGGCGAAAACAAAAAATTAAAGGACTTTGATATTTAACAATTGATTGGTCGACTGAAAAGCTTAGTCATTCGTTTAATAATGCTAAATATTCACAGTATTTTTTTATTTGAACAAAAATTAGCTCTCGTTCCATTCTCTTTCATTGCAATCAATAAAAAAAGCTTCAGAACAGATCTTGCAGACGCCAGCAATCGAAATTATTCAAGAACTTTTTCAGCTGGGTCAGTTTTGGGAGGAAAATTTGCATATTTCCATCGAGCCCACTCTAAAATCATGCAGGATCATGATTTGCCTCTAGCTATCGAGAAAAGCCACACATCTAGCGGTCTCTCTGATCTCGTGTTGTTCCATTAAAGTGGTTGAATCTTTATTCACAATAAATGATACAAGAGCACAGCCTGCAACAAACGTGCAAGGTATATAAATGTGTTAATAAATAAGAATAGAAACTGTGGTGAGCAATAAATAGTACTAAAAGCCCTTATATGAAAGCTCTCTTAAATCGGCCATGTCTAACGTAAGTTCCCTTTTTTGTGCGGCGAAGAGCCGAAGATCATGGAGGCTTTGATAGGAATCCTGGTGATCTTCTCCCTCAGTGGTCATCATCACCTTCGTGTTTTACTTTTTATTTCCTTTCAAAAATTGAAGAATAACAATTAAACGGGCTGATCAAAAAATTGGTGTCGGTCTCTATATGGGAAGTAAGAGAAGTGAAATGTTTATCTCAGTTGGTCTACTTACCACATTGAGCGAACTCAAGCATCAGTGGAAGATCAGCGCGCAGGTGCGTGTGCGTCCTCATCCATCCCCCCCAAACAAATGTCGTCAACAGGGCTCGTGCCCGGTCACAATTGTTCTTTCTAAAAGTAATCTTCTCAAAGTGGGTAATATGTCCTGTATGAAATTGAATTTGGTTATTTTTAAAACGGTCTGGGTCGACATTGATACACTTTATGTTGTTAATTTTATAAACAAAAAAAAAGCACAAATTAAACGCGAAAACATCGATGGCTGAAGAAACTCGTGCGAAACCGGTTGACGTGTGTTCATTTCCAGTCTCCTTGTGTGAAATAAAAATTTTATCAAAAGCACGATTTAACTTTAATTTATTGCTTGATGCCTGCCACTTTTTTACTAGTTCTATGTAGGGTAACACCGCTTGTTTCTTCCTTTTTTTGCGTCAGTATGACGCCACGGCAATTCCAGTTTTTGTCAGAACATAATTTGTCGTGTTGATGACGCAAAGACTCGGCCACGATCGAACCCTGGCAGTGACACAGTCCTTTATGGTTACCGCCACAGATTAAATGCCAATTATTTTTTTTCTGAGAATTTATTCGCTGGTAAGCACACAAGGAATAAGTGTTACTAAAATTCTTTCTTTGACACAACAAATACAATACGCAGTACACTTTTTTCTCCAGACTTTAGAGTTGCGCAGCAACTGTCATCTTTGAAAATAAAACTGAGCGTTGTAGTGTAAATATTTTATAGTATGAAGCCTTTTACTCCTTTCGTCTAAATGTTCAAGATTACTAGCTGTGAAAAAACAACTTCCTCAAATTGACTTTTGCAAAAACCTGTTTTTTAAAAACCGGCAGCTCGCTGGGTGAAGGAAAATGCATGATTTTCCTGGCTCCTCATCCACTATAATTTTTTATTTTAAACGGGATACGTCATGACTTGACATGTCACGCACGATCATCAAGAATCGAAAACAAGTGACACGAACGGGCCGTTTGCGGCCTTTGCTGTTGAGTTTTATACGATCTGTGACCAAAAACCCTGTGGTCGTCGACTTATGCCGCCACGCGCTCTGCTTCTTGTCAATTACGATGGGAAACAACACACTTAGATGACACCTAGTTGGCGAACACGTAGCATGACATAGCCCCTTTAATTAACAATTCACGTCAAACCTGGAGGTGCCCCTGATATTCCAATGATAAGAAGTATATAGGGCTAAAGTCAGTCTTTTCTCTTCCTTTGCAGTTGCGCCTGATTTAAGGAAATCTTCTCCTCCAAGGGTCGTGAAACCAGTAGGACAAGAGGAGGTGAAACTGGTGTGCAATGTGAAATACGCTAAAAACTACACTTGGTATAAGAATCATAAAAAGATTCATCAGCCGGCTGATCGATATGTTGTCAAAACTCCGCGGTATTTGCGAATAACAGACGTTCTTAAATCGGACAGTGGAACGTTTGTTTGTATTGCTTCCAACAAATATGGAACAGTAAATTGCACAATAAGGCTGATTGTTGAAGGTAAGAGCTTAGAGGAATTGTCTGCAAACTGAAAATTTTTGTAATTTTCCCTTTATTGGTGGGAGAAAGGAGTGGGGGAGAAAGAGAGAAAGAGACGTAAAGGCACTTTTGTAACCTCATTGTGGAACTTATGTAACCTAAAATGGCACTTCTGTAACTTTTGTAGCACTTGCGTAACGTATGGCACCACTGTAACTTGGCACTCATATAACTTTGTGCCACTAATGTAACTTTTGTGGCACTTGTGTAACTTTGTGGCACTTTTTGGTAACGCCATATTATGAAGGAAAGGAACTGCATCGTTACCGTCTTATCAGAAATATGTGAATGTAGCAACGCTGTCAGATATTCCACGACACTACATTGCATGATATATTTTGTCGTTAAAAGCAAAGGCTTCCTGAACCCATGTAGCAAGACCGAACTATTGTCTGCAGATTTCATCGCCATAAAAGAACTCCTCGGTATGCATTGTGCAACCTTACGAGGCAAAATGTTACGCGTCGTTTACCACACGAACATACAACAAAATGACGGCCTTTTCTACATGGTTTTGCTTGCAAGAGCAGCAAATCATCGTTATTCTCAACCAATGAATTGCGTTAGTGAGGCTTGGGGGTGAATTTTAAGTACATGAGGTCATCATGCATAAGGCTTATCGATTACTTCACGAGTCCCATATCATTATTCCTAGACAGGGACGGTTGCTTCTTATGAAATGAAATCTCTTTCGCTATTTCAAGTCGTCGAGATAATATCAAAGTTCATTTCTATTGATCTCGTTTTCTCTTCTGTACAGCCGCTTCATTGACGCTACTGGCTACACCATCTATTTACCCCAAATGCAGACAGGGAAGAGAGGAAATTTGTCCTCCTACTGCAGATATTTTATTTTAATACAAATTCAATATTCGAAACAATTATTTGAATTGAAATAACGTAACGCTGCACGCGGTCGAGTGGGTAGTCAGTAACTTACAAACTCAACGCGTTACTTAGCAAACACGACAAGTTTACCAATGTTTTATTCTTGTGGGCTCGACAACTAAGAATAAAACAGTCTGACTTTCTTGAAAACTCACAACCGAACATTTCCCTTACAATATAATGTGGATGTCCAGATGGTGCACGCCCTTAAAAAGCGGTTTATAACGTAACGCTTCATAGAGAGGTGGGGAGGGAGTAACTGACAAACTCAACACATTATTCTCTACCATCTCGGTTTCCAAAAGTATGAACAAACATAACATTAAACAACGTCTTATGCAGTTCTTCGTTTGCCAATCGCTTCAAAATTGCACGCTTAGAAATTGGCGCTCCTTCAATCATATCTTGAAATAAATCAATGAGTTTTTTAGCATGGCTGTCGCTAAATATGCCTTTAGATCTTTCAGTCGTATTCGTGGACTTATGGCTGCTTGTGTCTTCAAACATTCTACCGACACGAATGGCACAGTTTCTTCTTAAATAGGTAATGGAGTAATGTCATCAGCTTGCCAGGCTGTTTGGGAACTGTAACGCCATTCCGCACGGATCCTGTCTTATACTCTTTTTGGACTTTCTTTGCACAATATCGGGTCAGACTGGATTTTTTCTCGAACCAAAGACATGGTGACACTTCGCAACGATACTTCTTCTGCAAATAAATTTTACAGTGCTTGTAATGACTCTTCACTCCAGGGAGCTCGTTCTGTACCTAGGGAGTCAGCTGTTACGAGTTCACTTTCATTGGACTCATCGACTGCCTTTCTTGTTCCCAGCTCTTCATCGTTTTTCTCACAGTTTCTCATAAAGCCATTAGGCGATAGCCGAGAGCGACTTAGATTCTTAAGTGCTTCGCAAATCTCCCTGGTGCGTCCATAACTCAATAGCGTAGGCTCTGGCACCATTTGTTCTATAACACAGCTTTTTAAGTTTAACGCGTGTAGTTCTTACGCAATCCTTGACAAAAACTTGAAAGGAATCAAGCTTTGAAATATTATGTGACGTATCGTAGAGTTCCAATTTTTCAGCATCACAGGGGTCTATTCTTTATAAGTAGCTATTCACTTTCACAAGGAAATCGAAGTAAAGTATAAAAAACTCGTGAATTAGCAGAATTTTCATTTTTCGACTTCGAACGTTTGCGCTATGTCGCGCCATATCAGCGCGCCTGCTCATACGGAAGGCAATCGTCAACGGTCACCCATGAGCAAATAGTAGACGCTGAAGTGACCAATAGAGGGGCGCTTTACTTAAGTTGTGTTGATGGGTTAATAAAACATGAAACTTTAGGCAGTGAAGATTACACCCTAATCTTTGAGGTTATTTTTATGTATCCTACAAGAACAAATGTAGTTGAACTATGCCCAGTTGAAAGGTAATACCGTTTTTCCGTGCTGAAATCAGATTAAAGAGTCATTGTGTAGTGTAAGGTTATCTCGCAGCTTGAACCGAGCACAAGGAAATCCAAACTAAGCGATCCATCTTTACCAATAATCCATCGCTAAATAAGAAACTGCAAAATTGAGCGTAAAGTAGGATAGCTTATATCCCGTTAGTTTCGCAAACGTGTGATTCAACTTTAAACATTTCATTTGTAATCACGCTCTTTGGAATAGACGATGCCTGTACTACATGTCGAAACCGTGCTCTGATAATTGAAATGAAATGAGGCCTAGATAAAGCGATTATCAGACTCTCCCTCAGGCGAGGGACAGGGTTAGGAATAATGAAATAAAGTCACCTAAAATGGGAGAGGTTGGCGGATCCACGTGGTAGTGTGTATTAGATGGGGGATAAAAAAGAAGGTTTCCAAAACTATACAGGCTGGAAACCATACTATCGTACTACATAGAAGTCGCTTAAAATCACGTTTTTTTCCTACCATTTAAAGATTGCCCATCTATTCCTTTTCAAATTAGTGAGCTTAATTTGCTGCTAGCCAGCTTGATATTCCCTTTCTGTTATAGCGCAATATCCCAAACGACCGATAAAGAAGGAACACAATTTAACGGACGGTATAGATGGGGACCGTGAGAGGAATAAAATACATCAATCTACTGAATACACAATCTTCATGAAAGAAACAATTTCTACATTTTCTCAAGTTCACAGGTTCTCACGTTCAAAAGCATTGGTGAAAATTAATTTTGACACCTACTTTCTGCCTAATAAAGTGTATATACTCCTATGGTTTAACTGTGGTTTGTATTAAATTTTAATTGATCAACTTGGTTGATCCCAGCACTAGAAAATTAAATCCACCAACTTAAAATGAGTGTAACAGTAAGCATAGCGCACGGCCATTTTTTGTACCAAAATTTATTTAATTTCGACGCTTTTAAATGGGAATTTCCCTTTGAGAAAAATCTAGCGAAAGTGGCACTCTTGTAACCCGCAGTACAGTCAAAGGTGTATGTTGGTCAAATGGTTGCCAAGGATAACGAAAAAAGCTAAAAATCTGAAACTTTGCAAGCATAAATAAATGACATGGAACTATATGTCGCGAAAGTTTTAGCTGTAAATGTTGAATAGCATAGTCATAGTGGACTTATCAAGTTCAAAACTCCATATCAAGGGCTTAAATTGAATTGTCAATCTTGACCACGGATGAAAGGGCATATACATTCACCTGATTTTTTCAAACGTTCATAAAACTGGTTTGTAAATTGTGAGGGTGGTTGAGAGAACTTAGTGGTGTGTATTAGCAATCGATCTATCGATTAATTGCTGTGGAATACGCCGATCACCCTCTAAAATGCATCCTTACCCCAACAAGTGCCACAAAGGTTACATTTCACGTTTGAAAAAAAAAAAACAGTAAAATGCGTTAATTCTTGTGAAATTTTAACATAACGCAAACAAAACATTGATACACCCATCCACGCTTTAGTTACGACTTTTTCAGCATTCTTCAGCGAAATATTACTTCAGAGACAAAAGGTTACAAAAGTGGTGCACTTTACATCTAAGGGCAGAGTTATCGGAAAATCGTATTATTTGAAAATTTATTCCGGCCGAGTAAGTTGAAAAATTAGGAACTAAAGGGTATGAAAAACAAATCAACGTCTGAATAGGTTATATGCTAAATATTTTTTTTGACAGTGGAGGTTTTTTCTTGATAGAGGATAGATATAATATATTCAAGATGTTTTTTCTTTGCTCAGATCCAACGGTTTCATCTACAAATGTCTCAGGAGGTACAGTTAATTGATATGTTATTAAACTTAATAGCTCATAATTATCTCATATGTATTTTTGTATGTGTGATCAACCCTATTTTTTACCTTGCTCAAGGCGTCCAGTTGGTAAATCGGAGTGAAATAGTCAACGGCGCGAATGGAGGTCGTGGTAGCGGAGTGAAAAAGCGTGGGAGGCTTGGGTCGGGTCACACCGAAAAAGCGCGGGAGGCTGGGTCGGGCCACACTGGAAAGCGTGGGAGGCTTGAGTCGGGTCACACAGGCGCGCGTCAATTTCCTTTACCACCTCCTTTGTACCCTGTTGGTGACGACTGATCACCTCGCCGTTCTCTTGGAAAACCATGTAATCCCCCCAAAATCCTTCGAAGCCCCCTTTCCCCCTTCCCCCCCTACCCCCGGTTAGGCGAGAAATAATAACTGGTCGCGCTACTTCGATTTTACTTATTTTTATTTGTCACTTTTTACAGCTGTGAAGCCCCACTTTCTGTATCCAGACAAAATGGCGGAGGCAAAATTAGAATATACGGAGAGAGAAAAATTCCAACTACTATGTGACGCCAAAGGAACACCAACTCCGACGGTCACGTGGTACAGGGGTAAAGAAATATATCGTGGTCACAGATCTGACGAAACGATAACACCAGGGCATTATCACTATAATATACATTTTAGCGGGGTGGATGTCGCAGACGGAGGAAATTACACGTGCGTTGTGAAAAACTCATTTGGTACTTTGACTCATTCGTACGTCTTTGACGTGAAGGGTAAGTGACGAACGGCGACGACTTGTAATAGAGGTTCGCGCTAACGTTCTGTCGCAACCTCTCGTAATCTCTAATTTACTACGTGGGATCTGTGAAAATAGGCTCGGTAGTGGTAACGATAGTTTGAGGTAGACCTTTTACCGATGTAATGTTTGACGCAATCAATTATTGAGTTACGTTTGTTTTTTTTGGATAGGTCGATTTAGTCAACCACTTATATGTGTCAAGGTGGCTTTGTTCCCCACCGTAACTACCGAGAATCAGGACGTGTGAGCGCGAAGGCGCGTGGGCGCGTGGCGCATGTTGTTCTGGTCCAAGGATTGAACAAATTACAATCGAACCTGTATTAAGCAGCAAAGTATTAAACGGTCACCCTGTATTAAGCGGTCGGTTGTCGAAGACCCGAATTTGTTTCCCTTTGATCACTGTAATTTTTACGTCTTTAAGCGGTCACCTCTCTTAAGCGGTCGTGGTCACCTTAGAGTAAGTCACAACGGCCTGCTTCCATTATCCTCCAGCTGTGTTGAACGATCACTAAAGCGGAACTACTCAAATAAAACTAAGAATATTCTTTCAACTAAAAGTTGATCCATATTTCTCTCCCGAAATCAATTTTTTTAATATCTTTGAGCGAGTTTTTGTACATCAAGAGGTTAGTTATGGCATATAACGACGTTTATTATAGTAGTCCTTTTCTGTGGAACCTGTATTAAAGCGGTCAACCAGTACCAAGCGGTTACCATTTCCCGTGGGTGACTGCTTAATGGAGGTTTTACTGTATATGCCGGGAATGGGTTTTAACGGGCCGGTCTTTTGACCAGTTTCTTGGATTCATGCCTACGCATGCGCCAGTCGTAATCTAGCCCCCCTTACCTGATTTAACTTTATGCTCAGGAATGTGGCTCAAAGTATCACTGCAAATTCAACTTGCGGTATCCGCGATTGCCGTGAGATGTTCACATCTAAGCTGGTACCCATTTCAGTGGTCGACAATTCAATTGATATGATAGAAATAGCCGAGTTTACTTCAGTGGGATACGCTTTAACCTGTAAAACGATTTTCCTTACCAATGGCCAACCGCCATAAAAATGAAACATTGGATGACAAGAAAGTCTCTATCGGATTGTGTTTTAACGTTTATCTGGCTTTTACTCTGTTTTGTCTTTTTTCATAGAGTATATTCGAAGTCTTCCTCAGATCTTATCTGTTTGGGAACAGAAAAAACCTGAATATGCTGGAACCGATTTGCAGATGCGCGCCATTGTCCTTTCCAAGAATATCAATACGAAATTCTTTTGGTATTTCAGCAAAAGCTTTGTTCCAGATGAAACCAATCTAGGCACTTTAATAAACCAAACTTTGTTTGAAAGTCGTCTGGAGACGCCGTCTCATAAGGCTGCATCGTGGCTAAAATGGAAGGTAGTCCTGAATTTGAAAAATCTTTCTGTGGCTGATTCGGGTTCATATTGGTGCCAGGCTGAAAATATCGTTGGAACTGTTCAACGTCAGACTTCGCTTAAAGTGACTACAAGGCCCATTACACCATCTCCTTCAGGTAAGAAGTGATTGAGTAAGCATGTTGAAACAAGATTTTTGACCGTTCTTTGTTACGACGACTTCAATTACTGATAACCTGTAGATATTCATTCGTAACTTGCTGTTTCGCGACCCTCAGATCAAACCAACTACTTACTATTTGTGGTCAGATCCCCGAGTTTACGCTGAACTACCTATTGAAATTTGTCTCGCTTCGTAGCTCAATAGGTATGAGCGCTCATCTGATATTTGAGGGTAGGTCTGTCCTGATTGTGTTCAGCAACATTTGAGCAACTTTTGGCGTTTGGAGAAACTTATTGCGGTTCTAACAACCTCGAGGAATTCTTGCCTTTCTCAACAATTTTTGAGCAAAATATAAGTTTAGAGCACTTATAAAGGACGAAAAAGTCAATGATTTCATATAAAACTTTAATTTATACGAATTTCATAAATCGTTTGTTAACCTTTTGAACACAAAATTTGTCACGTGACAACATTTCGCAGGCTTATTGAGATCCTTATCTAAGATTTTAGGAGATAATCGGCTAAAATGACTTTTGTTCCGTTTAACTAAAGAGTATTCTTAAATTTCGCCCATGTTTGCGAGCAACCCTTTGAAGCTGAGTTTCTTGACCGATGTTGTAAGCAATTATTGTCAAGGCGAAAAATAAGGCTTTAAATTAACATTTATATATAGATATCAACAAATTTTAGGTAGCAACTTTTTGGAATTTTGGCAATTTTTAAGCAACTTTTAGCATTTCAGTGAGCAACTTTCTAGTGTTTTTACGAGCATGATCGGGACAGGCCTACGAAGTATTTAGTTATGCCCTGATTTTAATTGTGGTCGAGTTGTGAAGATCATTTCGACATTAGCAGGTCATTTCTGTGGCCTATTTTAAATTTGTATTTTAAGAAAAAGGTTTAAATGTTTTTTGAAGTAGTGCTGGGGGAAAGGAGGGAATTCATTCAAGATGGAGAGATAATTATGTTTGGTTCATTCTTGTGTAGGTTCTACTGTTAGCCTGACATCCATCAGTTCTGAAATTGAAGCAGTTACGCAGACGTCAATGGGTTGGACTGATAGAATAAGGTACCCGGTGGCTGTAATCGCAGTTCCAGTGGGCGTGGTCGCTCTCTTGATCATAGCTTCCGGTCTCTTTTATTGGCAGGTGAAGAAAGGCCGAGCGAGCTCGTCCGCAACGATGAAAAGCCGACGCAACATCGGTTCACTTCAAGCGAAGTACGTAGTCCAGTCAAATGAGTACGTTATAGTGCCAGACCTAAAAGGACTTGGGAATGATTTTGGCACCAACTGATTGTAGATAAAAAGCCTCATAAAAGAGGAACTTCAAAAGTAAAGTTAAAAGAGAAAAAAGTCCGAGGGGGGCAAAAATAACGGCAAGACATCTAAAATTGCCTGACTAGAAGAGCAGTTATCACTTTGTTACATCTATTTGGAAATCGCAAAATACAGTCGCTCAAATATAGATTATTTCAGTCTCTACAAATATTTTATTGATTCAGTGATAAGCTGGTTTGGAAAAAGTTGTAAAAGCTGTCTTTAATTTTCATTGCGATTTGATGGATTTCTTTAAATAAGCCTTGAATGATTGATGTGTTTTAATAAAGTTGTCTCATTGGCATGGAAAAAGATGCGATTTAGAACATAAAGTGGTGCGATTCGTGGATAAATCGCACGATGAGAGCGAATCAGATTGCAAGGATCACAACTGATTTCAAAACGGATGTAACAAACATAGTAAATTAACCATGAGCAGAATTTCAGTTTAGCAGAATAAATGAATAAAACCGCATACCCTCAAAGAAACACTAAAGGGTTTGTCAGGCTTTGTTCAAATTCAATTCTTCAGTTCAGTTTCGATTATTTTTTTTCTACAACCGTCGATGGGAAAGGATCAACGTTTTAGTTGTTAGAACCAGTTTCCTTACCGAAGGGACCGCTCTTTTCTGCAGCATGTTTGATCTCGTCACGCAACGATGGACGGCTTCAAGGAGATGTCAGTAGGAAACGGTTCTCACACCTTGAGTGTTTTTTCTTTCACTTATTTCCTCGTGCGTTTCAATTTCATCCATAATTAAAATGTTATTTTTGATTAATTTTGGTTGAAATAAAGTACCTTGTGGGTTTGAAACAAAAAACGTCATGATGTGAATCGCTAATAAAAAATAAAAAAAAAAGAGCAAAGGGAAATAGAACAAGGCCAAAGGGCTTGAGCGACAAAAGGGTTAATAGAAGGAAACATTAAGGGAGGAGAGGAAGGAGTGGGAACATGGGTCGGGGGAGTGGAGCTGGGTCGGGTTTTACCTCAGTGTTCCTCCTTCGTATCAGCCTTATTTTGAAGGTCGTTCTCCAAATTTAACTTTCAAAGTATGCAACTTTGCATTTATTCTCCTGGCTCCTTTTACACTGAGTAATTTTCAAGCTTCAGACTTCTCTTCCCGCCGGCAGCTTTGCAACAACTTCTACAAGGTACTTTTTATGTCAAACAAAGCTTGTTTTAAATATTTTAAATTTCAAGTGCAAATCGTCATTAGGGTGGGCACACTTCTGTAATTAATCATAGGAAACGTGAGTAGAATTTGTTCCAAAGGAAATTGGATTAAACTACAGGAAGTGGTTATTGCATTATCTTCAGTGAGATACATCGTTCCTCTCAGGGCACACAATTGCTATTTATGTATCCGGCCTGTTTTGGACTCTGTTTGCTTAACTTTTGGCGAATGTAACAAATAATCTAGATTTTAAAAGGCGAAAAAAATCTGTATTCAAATAATAATCAATAAACTGTTGGGGCGTTCCAATTAGACGATTTTGGCACCCGGGCTGTCGCATACATACTCCTTGCACTTTTTGTGCTGTCGTTATGTAACAAGAATGGGCTTCTGACAAGAACCAATGAAATTCAAGAGATTTTATCAATAATCCGACTCTACTAATCTGAAAAAGCTGGCCTAACATAGCTAGTAATTTGCACTTATGGTGCATTTAAGATTAAGCCTATTTTTTCAATCAAGTTTTACGCATTTCGTCAATGTCCCTGCTCAAAAATAAGGGGCTTATATAGTGTTTACTTGTAATTGTAGTCGTAATACGAATTTTTCTCAGCCACATAGTCTTCGCTGTTTCCTGTCGCTGCTCCAGTTGTATTCAAGATCACAACTGGATTAGCGACTAAAAACAGCCGCCATAGATTAGGAAGCGCTCTAGCTGATCGTGCCATAGGCTACAACTCGAAGTTCCGTCAACACGAGTCTTTGTCGCTCGTGCGGCAGAGCTTGGTGAGACTTTTACTGCAGGTTTTTAGTCACAACATCTAGATCTAGCTATATTATATGCTGATCGTTTTGATTGCGTTACAAAGGTCAACTGTATTTGATGCACCAATCATAGCTGAGATACATCCATTGAGAGGTGCGTGGTCGAAACATTTCTTTAAATAGCTATCAAGGAAAAAATAAGTTGACATTTCTCTAGAGGTAACTATGCGGGGGTGATTTTGAAACTTCCACAGATCATCAACAATTAGCTGTTGTTGGTTACTGCAGGAAATCGATGGCCTTGTCTCCGAGCGAGAAGTACTAACTGCATATGTATGAAGGGGTGTATGAACAGGAAGAGAGATCAAATCATTAACCTAAATTGCAGGAAGCCTTTTAACGCGTTCAGCCATTGGTGCTTCGTTCCATAAAGTTTATAAAATTCATCGATGATCCCCTAGAGTTGTTTTGCCAGATGCTTTATCGAATACACTCACATTTGTCGACATATCATTTCATTTCATAATTTCACCTGAAGCATGCGAAAAAATATTTACCGACCACAACAAGTGCGGTGAATGAAATTTGTTGTTATATTCTGTTTGTTACTTATATCTTGACAAATTTACATCCTGAAATAATTATTACCAAAACAATAATTTCTCTATTCAACTTGAAAACATAAAAAAAATTGGAAAATCATGAAAAAAAAAATTCTGCTGGACATTTAGATGTTCCTGGAGTGTTCAGTTAGTTTGAATCTTTTAAAATAAATAAAAGGGACAATTCTTTATTTATTCATTCATTACGATGGTCTTTTTGTACTATCAAGTACCAGCTGCTTATAGCTCTAATGCGAGCTCAAAAATAATTAAATGCTCTTTGGTGTTAATTTATGTCAGATTTTTCGGAGAAATGGTCGCTACGTGTATTTAAAAGTGTTAAGAACAAAAATTGGAAAATGTGCCCCATTTAACGCATGCATTAGTCTATTTTTCGGTTTTAATAAGTCTCTTTGATTTTCGAGCGGAAGTTTTGTAATAAATATATCAGTATTCTGGTCTCATGTTGACAAGTCATGAATTACTGTCAAAAGTTAATTTCAATGTTGTCGTGTATTCACCCAAGCGTGTCCATGTAATTTCCACGCGCTCGCCGTCATGGGCTTCTGGCGAAACTTCATTTATTTCAAGGTTTTTGGCGTGAAACCCCGAACAGTTTGAACTCTCAGGATTTCCGCAGCTCGACAGAAACACCATCTTCCTCGGGATCTAGAGCTTCATGCGTTAACAACTGAACAAGCGAGTGGAAGGAATTTTTAATATTGAATGCACGCCACAATCTATCCGGCGCCTGTTGAAAACGAAATGACTTTAACTTCTCGTTAAGACCAACAAGACCACTTCTACAACTTCCTATTTACGCAAGGTAAGGAGAAAGAAATTATTGAGAATGCAGTGTTGTTTTTATCTCATTTTCTGAACGTTTGTGCTCATTACAAAGTCAAACTTTGTCTCGACGGTCAAACAATCGTCCGGATACTCGACGGAGCAGAAGAATGAATAATTTCTTAATTCGTTTTTCCGCACGTAGTCTTGTGGTTAAGTCCTAGCACCTTCGATCTCTCTAGCAAAAACACTGTGTTAGTGCTTGACCGATGTAAGATGTTTTGACTTTCCTAACATCCTTATTTAATGTTCAATTCCCCTGCAGGGCTTGACGTCAAGGCGAAGGTAGCCGGCACGTTTTCTGATCTACTCGAGTAGAAGGCATATTTTACTGCTGGAAAATGGTTCTCGCATTTCGTCGCCGGAGTGGTTTTCTCACCGTCTTTATTCTTGCCGGAATTTCTGCGATTGAATCTCAACAATCTGGAGGTAGGTTTGTGTGGCAAACCTTACGTACATCTGTAGACTGTGTTTCTTTTGTGCGTTTTATGAATGCATTTTATCATCATAGAATTCAGACACTGAGACAGGTCATGCCGCTTAAGATTCTCAATGAAATGTTTGATGATGAGTAACGCGCCAAAGCAGAATTTTAATGTTATAAACGATGTACCCGTTTTAAGTCGAGTGAGACTCTCCACTGATAGTCAAAAATGTTCGAATCTTTCCAAAGAAAAGTGTTATAATTTTATGCGCAAATTTTTGGTTCGCTTTTAAACCTTATCGGCTCTTTGTTGCGTCTCAAATTTTGTTATCGTACACCGGTAATTATAACCAAGCCGCCAACGTCTTACTCGGCAGCAATAATATTTATTGAAAAAACTTAGACGTATATTTCCCAGCGTGATTCTGACAATCATCCAACAGCGGGATCCTTAAAGGGAACTATCGAAAATGATTTCGATTACCCAATTTATTTATTTACACGGGTTAATGAAATATCCCTATAGAAAAACAATTTAATTTAAAAGTTTTAAAGAACGGCATAGTGGAAATTTAAGTTATTGTGCTTTTCATTATCCAAAACTCTTGATTCTTCGCTACAATACTTCTTCGTGAACATTCGATCAACAATGGGTTCGTTTGCAAAGCAGTACGTGAAATTTCAATGGCTTTGTTCAATATTGGTTTACAATACAAACGGGTTGTTGTTGAATTTTTACACTATGATGTAGCGGAGTAACCGGAAAGTTCGCACACAGATCAATTTAGAGGTACTGTCAGAATCCAAGGCTTTTTGGTACAAGTTGCATCTGAAAGAGCACGTACACATTATATTTTCACAACATGACCCCTAATTAAAACGCAGAAAAAGATACAAATAGCACACAAGCCGGAATTTCGCGGAAGTCATAATACATTTTTTGCTTTGATTTCAGCTCAATTTCCTAGTTTATTGCGATATTAGGAAACTGTTATATCATTCCGTCGCCGTTTCGTTCTAATCGTTTCGGCTAATTCGCGGTAGTGGCGAAAACAAAAAATTACAGGGATGCGATATTCAACGATCGATTAGTCGAGTGAAAAGCTTAGTTAGTCGTTCAATAATGGTAAATTTGCACTGTATTTTTTTTATTTGAACAAAAAGTTAGCTCTCATCCCATGTGACGTTTCAAAAAAAGCTTTAGACCAGATCTTGCGGACGCCAGCAATCGAAGTTATCAAGAACTTTTTCAGCTGGATTAGTTTTAGGAGGAAAATTTGCATATCTTCATCGAGCCCACTCTAAAATGATGCATGGTCATGATTTGCCTCTAGCTACAGAGAAGAACCACTCAACTTGCGGTCACTTTTATCTCGTGTTGTTCCATTAAGGTGGTTGAATCTTTATTCACAATAAATGATACAAGATCACAGCCTGCAACAAACGTACAAGGTATATAAATGTGTAAATAAATACTAAGAAAAGCCCTTTTATGAAGGCTCTCTTAAATCGGCCATGTCCAACGTAAGTAGGAAAGTAATTATGGCCACCGTCACGTAATCTCCTTTTCTTTGCGGGGAAGAGCTGAAGTTCATGGAGGCTTAGATAGGGATCTTGGTGATCTTCTCCCGCAGTGGTGGTCATCCCTTTCATGTTTTACTTTTTATTTCCTTTCAAAAATTGAAGAATAACAAGTAAACGGACTGATTAAAAAATTGGTGTCGGTCCCTGTCTGTGAAGTAACAGAAGGAAATGTTTATCTCAGCTTGTCTACTTACTACATTGAGCGAACTCACAGCAAAATTGGCCACTTAGGAACGTCACCATGCATTAGTGGAGGATCAGCGCGCATGTGCGTGTGCGTCCTCATCCATCCCCACCCCCCCCCCCCTCTCCTCACCCCCCGCCAAAAATTGTAGTCAATGTAGTCAATGTAGTCAACAGGGCTCATGCCCAGTCACAATTGTTCTTTCTAAGAGTAATCTTGTCAAAGTGGGTAATATGTCCCGCATGTCATTGAATTTGGTTATTTTTAAAATGGTCTGGGTCGACATTGATACACTTAATGTTGTTAATTTTATGAACGCAAAAAAGCATAAATTAAACGCGAAAACATCGATGGCTGAAAAAACTCGTGCGACACCGGTTGACGTGTGTTCACTTCTAGTCTCCCTAAGAATTGTGTGGAACTAAAGTAATATCAAAAGTACGAGTTAACTTTAATTTACTGCTTAATGCCCGTCACTTTTTTACTAGTTCTGTGTAAGGTAACACCGCTTGTTTCTTCCTTTTTTTGCGTCAGTATGACGCCACGTTAATTCCAGTTTTTGTCAGAACATAATTTATCGTGTTGATGACGCGTAGGCTCGGCCAAGATTGAACACTGGCAATGACACAGACCTTTATGGTTACCGCTACAGATTAAATGCCGATTATTTTTTTCTGAGAATTTATTCGCTGGTAAGCACAGAAGAAATAAGTGTTACTAAAATTCTTACTTTGGCATAACAAATACTATACGCAGTACAATTTTTTCTCCAGACTTCAGAGATATTTTTTATAATATTTTGTGCAGCAACTTTCATCTTTGAAAATAAAACTGAACGTTGTTGTGTAAACATTTTCTAATATGGAGCCTTTTATTCCTTTTGTCTAAATGTTCTAGATTACTAGCTGTGAAAAAACAACTTACTCAAATTGACTTCTGCAAAAACCTGTTTTTTGAAAACCGGGAGCTCGCAGGGTGAAGGAAAATGCATGATTTTCCTGGCTCCTCATCCACTATAATTTTTATTTTAAACGGGATTCGTCATGACTTGCGCACGATCATCAAGAATCGAGAAAAAAGTGACACGAACGGGCCGTTTGCGGGCTTTGCTGTTGAGTTTTATACTATCTGTGACCAAAAACCCTGTGGTCGTCGACTTATGCCGCCACACGCTCTGCTTCTCGTCAATTACGATGGGAAACAACACACTTAGATGACGCCTAGTTGGCGAACACGTAGCGTGACATAGCCCCTTTAACTAACAATTCACGTCAAAAATGGAGGTGCCCCTAATATTTCAGTGATAAGAAGTATATAGGGCTAAAGTCAGTCTTTTCTCGTCCTTTGCAGTTGCGCCTGATTTGAGGCAATCGTCTCCTCCAAGGGTCGTGAAACCAGTAGGACAAGAGGAGGTGAAACTGGTGTGCTATGTGAAATACGCTCAAAACTACACTTGGTATAAGAATCATAAAAAGATTCATCAGCCGGCTGATCGATATGTTGTGAAAACTCCGCGGTATTTGCGAATAACGGACGTTCTTAAATCGGACAGTGGAACGTTTGTTTGCATTGCTTCCAACAAATATGGAACAGTAAATTGCACAATAAGGCTGATTGTGGAAGGTAAGAGCTTGGAGGAATTGAGTGCAAACTGAAAATTTTCCCTTTATTGATGGGAGAAAGGAGTGGGAGAGAGAAAGAGAGAGTTAGTTGTGAGTAGGAAAATCGTGTTATTTGAAAACTTATTCCGACTGTGTAAGTTAAAAAATTAGGGAACCAAAGGGTATAAAAAGCAAATCAATGTCTGAATAGCGCATATGTTAAATATTGTTTGTGGCAGTGGAGGTTTTTTTTGATAGAGGATAGATATAATGTATTCCACATGATTTTTCTTTGCTCAGATCCAACGGTTTCGCCTACAAATGTCTCAGGAGGTACAGTTAATTGATATGTTATCAAACTTAATAGCTCATAATTGTCTCATAGAAATTTTTGTATGTGTGATTAACCCTATTTTTTACCTTGCTCAAGGCGTCCAGTTGGTAAATCGGCGTGAAATAGTCAACGACGCGAATGGAGGTCGGGTTAGCGGAGTGAAAAAGCGTGGGAGGCTTGGGTCGGGTCACATTGAAAAAGCGCGGGAGGTTTGAGTCGGGTCACACCGAAAATGTGCGGGAGGCTTGAGTCGGGTCACATGAAAAAGCGCGGGAGGTTTGAGTTGGGTCACACTGAAAAAGCGCGGGAGGTTCGGGTCGGGTCGCACAGGGAGGCGCGCGTCACTTTCCTTTACTAACTCCTTTGTACTCTGTTGGTGACGACTGATCACCTCACCGTTCTCTTGGAAAACCATGTGATCCCCCCAAAATCCTCCAAACCCCCCTTTCCCCCCCCCATCCCGTTAGGCGAGAAATAATAACTGCTCGCCCTGCTTCTATTTTACTTATTTTTATTTGTCACTTTTGACAGCCGTGAAGCCCCACTTTCTGTATCCAGACAAAATGGCGAAGGTCACGGCAAAATTAGAATATATGGAGGGAGACAAATTCCAACTACTATGTGACGCCAAAGGAACACCAACACCGACTGTCACGTGGTACAGGGGTAAAGAAATATATCGTGGTTCTAGATCTGACGAAACGATAACACCAGGGCGTTATCACTATATTATATATTTCAACGGGGTGGATGTCAAAGACGCAGGAAATTACACGTGTGTTGTGAAAAACTCATATGGTACTTTGACTCATTCATACGTCTTTGACGTGAAGGGTAAGTGACAAAGACGGCGACGATTTGTAATAGAGGTTCGCGCTAACGATCTGTCACAACCTCTCGTAATCTCTAATTTCCTACGTAGGATCTGTGAAAATAGGCTCGGTAGTGGTAACGATAGTTTGAGGTAGACCTGTTACCAATGTAATGTTGGACGCAATCGATTATTGAGTTGCGTTCGCTTTTTTGGATAGGTCGATTTAGTCACCCACTTATATGTGTCAAATTGGCTTTGTTCCACACCGTAACTACCAATGATCAGGACGCGTGAGCGCGAAGGCGCGTGGGCGCGTGTTGCATGTTTTTCTGGTCCAAGGATCGAACAAATTACAGTCGAACCTGTATTAAGCAGTAAAGTATTAAACAGTCACCCTGTATTAAGCGGTCGGTTGTCATAGACCCGAATTTGTTTCCCCTTGATCACTGTAATTTTTACGTCTTTAAGTGGTCACCTCTCTTAAGCGGTCGTGGTCACCTTAGTGGATCAATATCAGTAGCTGGGAACAGACCCTTATATAAAACTACCGTACAATTTTAACAAAACACCCCCTATATAACTCGCCTTAAGCGGTCGTGGTCACCTTCGAGTAAGTCACAACGGCCTGCTTCTATTATCCTCCAGCTGTGTTGAACGGTCACTAAAGCGGAACTACTCAAATAAGACTAAGAATATTATTACAACTAAAATTTAATTACTTCTCTCCCGAAATCAATTTTTAATATCTTTGAGCCGGTTTTTGTACATTAAGAGTTTAGTTATGGCATATAACGGCGTTTTTTATAGTGTTCCTTTTCTGTGGAACCTGTATTAAAGTGGTCAACCAGTACCAAGCGGTTACCATTCCCCGTGGGTGACTGCTTAATGGAGGTTTTACTGTATATGCCAGGAATGGGTTTTAACGGTCCGAGCTTTTGACCAGTTTCTTGGATTCATGCCTACGCATGCGCCAGTCGTAATTTAGCCCCCCTTACCTGATTTAACTTTATGCTCAGGAATGCGGTTTAACTTGCGGTATCCGCGATTGCCGTGAGATGTTCACATCTATGCTAGTACCCATTTCATTGGTCGACGATTCAATTGATATGATAGAAATAGCCGAGTCTACTTCGGTGGGATATGCTTTAACCTGTAAAACGATTTTCCTTACCATAGGCCGTCATAAAAATGAAACATTGCATGACAAGAAAGTCTCTACCGGATTGTGTTTTGACCTTTATCTGGCATTTACTCTGTTTTGTCTTTTTTCATAGAGAAAATTCGAAGTTTTCCTCAGATCTTATCTATTTGGGAACAGAAAAAACCTGAATATGCTGGAACCGATTTGCAGATGCACGCCATTGTCCTTTCCAAGGATGAGAATACGAAATTCTTTTGGTATTTCAGCAAAAGCTTTTTTCCAGATGAAACCAATCTAGGCACTTTAATCAACCAAACTTTGTCTGAAAGTCGTCTGGAGACGCCGCTTAGTAGCGGTGTATCGTGGCTAAAATGGAAGGTAGTCCTGAATTTGAAAAATCTTTCTGTGGCTGATTCGGGTTCATATTCGTGCCAGGCTGAAAATATCGTTGGAACCGTTCAACGTCAGACCCCGCTTAATGTGACTACAAGGCCCATTACACCATCTCCTTCAGGTAGGAAGTGATTGAGTAAGCATGCTGAGGCAAATGGATTATGTTACTTCAGAAACCCACTCCAGACTATCTGTTAGCCCTTTTCACTCCTAAAATCTCATTAGTGATTCTCCCTTCTGTCTGACATACAGCTCCTACTCTCATCACTTTTCTTCTTGGTACTGTGTTGATATTGAGAGGAGAAATTCTGTCTTGCTTACTCATGGAAGGTAAAGGGTTAAAAAGGGTTTGGGAGCGGCAAGGGAGATATAGAAGATAAAGAACCAATATTCAGTGGGCGATATGGTGGTACGTGCTCTGGTTTGCGGGCTCGAATTTTTGTACCCCCAATCCGAAAATGTGTGACCCCATTCAAGTAACTTAATTGAAAATGAATTCAATCAATTTTTTACCACCATTGGCTGCGCCTCGTGAGTCCACAACACTTTTACTACTGCGATTTTCATTGTTTTTCATAATCAACGAGGATTTTATAATGTCATTCTCAGGTACACCGTCAGTCACAACTCGACCAGATACAGAAAGTGCTGCTCCAGTAAGTGATGTATCAGGTCCCCCTCCGATTTTAAGTCCATTGGAGATTACTCTTTTCGGTGTCGGCGCTTTTATCTTCATACTGTTATTGATCATCTGTGCAGTTGTCTATTGTGTGCGCTTGAGAAAGCGTAAGAAGGGTCGCAACTTAGATGTAAAATACGACGCCGTAACAGAAGGTGCTGTCATCGAACCACAACGCTTCGTTCCAAGAACAGCGTCTGTTTCTTCTACAGCCTCAGCGCTTTCCTTAATGCGTCAAAGGAGCTTTCGCAGTCGCCTGGAATCGAGGTTAACACAGGTGAGGGTTAGATAAAAGACACTTTCTGGTGGTCTTCTGCCGCCTGTGAGACCTCTTACCGCCGTCTGTTTAGCCATCGAGTAGGTTTTCGTGTTTGGGTTTCACCATGCCACACTATCAAAGATGCTTAACTGTCAACTTCCCTCCCCCTTCCCCCCGTGTTAGGCAAAGCGCATAACATTTCCTTTATAGTCTTCTACTTCTTGGGTGGACCTCAAATTTTTCTTCCGAGCAATAATGATATTTAAGGACAAGCAACACTCCGCCTAGTACACCATCGACAGCTGCCCACGGAAAAAGTTATCGACAACTGAAATTTGTACTTAAGCTTCACATTTTCACTTGGTGTGAGCTCATTTTGTGTTGTTTTGGATGCACATGTTCTCCTCTTTTTCCCACCCCATTTATACCTAGTTGTCTATTTTTCTCTGTATTATGGTTAGGTGTCGGACATCGAAGTGCCATATGAAGAAGCTTGGGAGATTGACAGATTCTCGTTGGTTCTCTCTGACATACTCGGTGAAGGAGCATTTGGACGAGTTATCAGAGCAGATGCTCTTGGCCTAGGTTGTACTGTAGCTGTGAAAATGCTTAAAGGTAAGTGAAGGGACCTGTTTTGAGGCTACACTTAGTCACGCTGGTTTTTTGTGAGCCCCCTTTACCGCGCAAGTCAAAGTACATAACATTTCTTTTATATAATTCTTCTACTTGCGTGCATTTCATTTCCGAGCAATGATGCGACGTAAGGGCAAGCTAAACTCATTTTGGTAATCATAGAGCTTACAACGGTGTGATGCTTATCTTGATATAAGAATTACCAATAACTGTTTTGTGATCTTTTGTTATGATTTGCAGAGGATGCGACGGATCAGGAATTGATGGACTTGGTGTCGGAAATGAAAGTGATGAAGACAATAGGAAAACATAAAAATATCATCAACTTATTGGGAGTGTGTACACAGGAAGGTAATTTTCTCCTTTGGTTAGGCCTTTTCACCCGAACATCAGTATGCATATTCTCCATACCGTTCTCTATACATTTCCTATGGTGCTGGCAAAGAAAATTTGTTCAACGATCAAGAATCTCTTTACTCGGTGATCTTTCCCTATATTTTTGTGACCGTAATGTTTGACTCAAGAGTGGTATTGGAAGGAGAAACTTGATGTTAGACACTCTAAGGGGTTGGTGGGTCAAGAGATGAAATTCTTTTTTTTTTTCTTTGAATCATGTCGTGAAGTAACCATGCATAAACCCACGCACTCTTCAAGACATGTCTTTCACTATAATTGATCTATATTGATCTGACATAATCTGTTACCATCTTTTCTTCCTTGCGCTGGTTACGTTGCTTGTCAGTATGTTTGATATCAACCATATCGTCACGTAGGAGAGGAACTTACTTGTCGCTTAACCTTGCATCATTTGTTTTGCTTTCCAGGTCCCTTATTTGTTGTGGTAGAATTCGCGGCTCATGGCAACCTTCGGCAGTTCCTTCAAGAGAGGAGACCTGGGTTGGAGTACCATAATGAGGCTGATAGCCTCTCTCCAGAGCAACTTACTCTTCAAGATCTTATGTCTTATTGTTATCAAGTAGCAAAAGGAATGGAATTTCTGTCATCCAGAAAGGTGAACAACAATAATCTTGCTTGTTTAATTACGTTTTCACGGAAACGAAACAAGGTGCTGATCCGTTGTTATATTTTCGGGTTTTTGTATGCTACTTCACATGCTATGTGACTGATTTGTCTGATCGCATAACTTCCGAACGGAATATGCTTTAGATTTGATTAAGAACAACCTCCCTCCCAAGGGCTCTATCCTTAATTTTCTCGTCACGATCGTGAGAGTAATCCGGGATTGAATTGGTTTTGCTTTCCTTTACTCTGTGATTGGTCCAGAAAACTCTCGCCGCTCTCTCAACCAATCAGATGCACAACTAACGTCAATTGCGACTTGGTCGCCCACGTTCTCTCGCGTTTTATGCGATTTGCTTGTTTTCACTTTGAGTTCTCATTGGCTCGGCGTTATTTCTTACTTGTGATTGGCCTTTGAAATTACTTTGGTTCTGGTTTTACGACACTCCATCGAAAAGAGCTCCATACCATTATATGAAAAATAACTCACTACTTGAATTTTTTGGTCTTTTGTAGTGCATTCACAGAGATTTGGCAGCAAGAAATATTTTGGTGGCCCAAGACTACGTCATAAAAATTGCTGATTTTGGTCTAGCGAGGAACGTGAGAGACGATGATTATTATCGGAAAACAACAGACGTAAGATTATAGATAGCAAAGAACAAATATTTAATGTCTTAGTGATATTGCCGAAACATGATCGAGCACTTATCAAGCCGAAAATGCGTCAGAAGAAAGTACGAGCTGTCTTGATTGGGTATCTTCTATAACGCAAATCACTCGAAGACAGAATGTTTCAACTCGGATGGAAATATTGTATGTGCATCATGGAAAACCGACTTGTCAATGTTGGTAGCTCGTGCAAACGCTTGCAGAAATTTCGTGACCAAAGATTGTTGTTGGATGTTGTTGTGTAAGGTATTATTGCTTCAAACATTATAGCCAGCATTTCTTTCGTTTTGTGGTCATCGGAAACCATTTGTAAGCTTCCACCCGTGCAGCCCAACAACAGCTGCTAGATTCTCAGGTTGTTGAAACGTCAGTGGACAGTGGACAGACAGTCAGTCACAGACAACAGCGCAGACCTCACCCCAGATGATCATAATACAGAATCTATGGCTAACCGTTGATATTGGCACCGAGTTGTCTTATTGTTAACTGAGCACTTTCCACAAAGGATACAGTTCATTCGGTCCTAATAAGACTTTTATTATATATATCCTGGGTTCTCTTGTGATTATCTCTTCTAGCAATTGTTTTTAGACCTAAAAAATGCATAGATCATCACTTTACTTGCAGCTAGTGTTCAACCTCAAGATGTGGTTTATTATCCATAAACACGGGGAAATGTTTTACACGTTCGTATATTCTCCCTACTATCCTTTCTTAGGGAAGACTTCCAGTCAAGTGGATGGCGCTTGAGGCATTGATCGATAGAGTTTATACCACGAAAAGTGATGTGTAAGAATAATTTACTTTGATGTTACTGTGATACTGTTTTTTTTTTTTTATGAAACTGCCATCTTTTCATGCTGTGTCAGTTCGACGTTGCTACACTTCTTGTCCAAGCTTGCATGTTATTTCTCTTTTGCTGGTGTTTCAACCTGATGTAACTTCTCTTAGATTTAATTGATGGTTTTCAAGCTGTACTTTATATGATGTGCTTGATCCCGAAAAATTAGCTCGGGATACTTCAGCTCTATAGTAGCCAAAAATTAATGTAAAATTTCATTTCTTTGTTTAGATGGTCGTTTGGAGTGCTAGTATGGGAAATTGTTACTTTTGGTAAGTGAATGGTACTTTGTCTTATTTATGAATTTTTATCCTTTGCATAATCTATCTTGACATTGACATCAACACTGACATCAACATTGACAATGACATTGACAATGACATTGACAATGATGGTGACAATAACTTTGACAATGATGGTGACAATAACTTTGACAATGATGGTGACAATGACATTGAAAGTGATGGTGACGATGATATTGACACTGGCAATAACATTGACAATGATGGTGACAATGACATTGACTGTGATGGTGACAATGACATTGACTGTGATGGTGACAATGACATCGACACTGACGATAACATTGACAAAGATGGTGGCAATGACATTGACACTGACAATAACATTGACAATGATGGTGACAATGACACTGACAATAACATTGACAATGATGGTGACAATGACGTTGACACTGACAATAACATTGGCAGTGATGATGACAATGACATTGACAATGATGGTGACGACAACATGGACAATGATGGTGATAATGACATTGACAATCACAATGACAGTGACAGTGTTGATGAGGATGATGATGATGATGAACGTGTATAGCTTAATTCAACATTTGTTTAAGTGAAGTAAAGATGTGACGGTTAAAGGAATAGAATGAAATCCTTCATCATTCATTTGCCATATACGCGTTGCGTATGTTTATATGACCCTTTTGATGCCCACTGATGGCCACGTCAACTTGGATTTCTGGATATTCATAACTTCTTTACACACCACTAGCCAATCACCTTTGGTTGATCACTCATTCCACTTCTGTTATTCTTTCTTATCAACTTGTTTAAGGGGGCTCTCCATATCCTGGTATTCCCGTGGAAAATCTTTATGGACTGCTCAAGTCAGGTTACAGGATGAAACGTCCCATCAATTGCGACAGGGAACTGTAAGTGAGATTGACCTCCTTCTTCAGAAGCGCTAGTTATGTCTTGTCACTGCTTCAGTTCCTCTAAGAAGAGGTTCGAATTAAATCACATGATAATGTTTCTAAGGCTCTTTTTAGGTAAATTGTAACGTCAGGCAAAGTTGGGAAGGCTAAATGGAGAACAAAATTTTAGAAGAATTTACCGGATTGACTCTTAAAACGATTACGTGTATTAACCTCTCGTTATTTATGTATTTATTTTTTTTCTTATTCTGTTTTGTCATATATTTATTTGTTGTTGTTGCACTCACATACGCATATAGGTAATTTATGACGTATTGTGTGTTTGATAGTGCCTGTGAAGTAGTGTTTTTTGCGAGTGTTACCCGTGCATTGTTATTAAGTTAACATGCTCCACGTAATTTCATTACTGGATTTAATATGAGTTTTTCAAGTGTAAAATAGTAATGTAAGTACAGTTAGTATCGTATGTAATCTTTTATTCTGCTGGGTCTAGTGGTGCGAGTAAAATTGAGTTAAGAAAAACTTCATTATCGTTATTATTGCAAACTTATCTTTGTCAACACAGATCAACTCACTTTCTCGTTGTATTTTCTTCTCCTTAGGTATCAGCTTATGCTAAATTGTTGGAATGAATTTGCTGATAAAAGACCGACGTTTCCGGAACTTGTCCACGAATTCGATCAGATGATATCGATGCTGTCAGACAAGGTAGATTGTATTAATACCTGACTCAGAAATAGTACTCTGAAGAAATGTCCCCCCCTCTTCTCCCCCACTCACCTATGCCCATGCAATTACAATACAATTTTAAAGAAATTCGGATTATAATCTCGTTTCTTACAATGCCCTGTTCACTGTTTCAAGGAAAAAAGCCAGTTTTACCATCTTGTGAGAGACTTGAATGCGTACTGGTTAAATTAAAACATGCCACATAAATGATCGCCATGCGTGTGATCGAGCTGGTGATCATGTTATTTTGGTTAAAGGCTTAAGTCTTTCTCCAAGCATAGTAGGTTTATCCGTCTAGCCAACTCTTTTTTCAGTTCATCAGGGGGCCAACGATTTTAATCCATACTACGTTTTGAATTGATTAGTAACGCGGAAAATCCACTTAAGTATTGGTCACGATTCGCTTCCATCCATTTATCATCCTGCAAGAGTTAAAGCTCTTTGAATACGAAGTGTTTTTCCGTCAAAGCAACACAGTAACCAACATACTCGAAACTGGCCGGCCCAATTCGTGACTAGGCACCGTCTAGCCTTTTGAGTCCCTTGGTCAATAAGACATATTCCTGACATTGTCGGCTTAAGTATCAAACAAAACTCCAAAACGAATCTCTTGTCTTAAAAATTGCCTTGCTCCCCCATAGGAATATCTTGACCTTCAACCGCCACTTGTGAGTCCATTGACTCCCAAAACCCCTTCGTCTTCCGAAGAAGACAACGTTTTCGGAAGTTCAGAGCACGTGTCTAAAAGTAGCAACAGTTTGAATTGTGATGACGGGGAAGGATACCAAGATGACGTTCACGATGAAGAACACACGCCTGACAGTGATGGATACGCAGATATACGTCATAACCTTGACAGTGAACCCTTTTTAGCCACCGGTGAAAGCAAAACCTCATTGGCGTCTCACTCATCGTCTCTTTTTGCGAAAAGGAAACTAGACCAGCTTAATGGTAGCATTGTATCGCTTTCCTCTCAGCTGAGCAAACAATTTCGTGGCACAGGAGAAAACGAGGATGATAGCAAAGAGGAAAATATTGGGCTTTTGGACGAAGACTTGGATCAAGCAAGTGACGATGCCTTCGAGGTGAATGATCCGAAAGCCGCACGTGAAGAATCCAGTGACAAGTGCGCGTCAGAAAAACTGGGAAATAGTGTTACCATGGAAACTGATGCGCCGTCAAGACAGGTAGATCCCTCTGTCTTAATTCACAAAAGACAACAAGAAAAAAAGACTCCTCAAAGGAGGCCTTCTCAGCAGACTGAGGTCTAAACAAGAACATTTTATGCGGTTGGTTCAAGTTTTGACCCATTCCATGTCCTTTATTTGTGACTGGGCTCGTCCATAAAATGAACCATCTTACGTGAATCGAAAGGGTTGCTTCCGGTCCTCGAATGCGTTCATGTGGGTACAGTCGTCTTTCGCTGCCATCGTCGAGGCGTTGATGTCAAGATTATAGGCTTCTTTTAGTTGTGTCACGTCGTTTAGCAAGATGGTGTTTCACTGCGTAACCAGTGATGTTACTAGCGACTGAGATATCAATGTAGTATCAAAAGTATCTTTCGTATTAGCGTTTGACGTTTAACGTCGGTTATTTATGGAATAACTTAAAAGTTTCTCTATAAGTCAAAGCAATCAATACGCAATCCTTCGCCTTCTTGGTTCCTGACCCAAATTGTTCCATATCATAATTTCTTATGCAAATTCCTGACCAGACTCAACGATACCATTTCTTGGGAGACAAAAAATCAGGGTCTAAACTACTCAGTGGGTGGGTAGTGGGATTCTGGAGAAGTTACGAGCTCGCACAAGCGATTATTTTGTGACAAAGTTAACAGCATGTTAACTACCAAAAAAGAGAAAGAGCTCGCCTTTTTATCGTTGTTGCTCAAGAGTGTTCGTGATTCCGATTTAGAAACCTTTCACCAAACTTTCACAGGATCATTGTTTTGGATGAAAAGTTAAGCTCTGTTGTTTATTTTTCCAACCGTGGGAAATATTTTAGATCACACTGGTAAAACTCTCTCTACGATATTTAGTGGGAAATGGATTTTTATATTCAAAGTGAGCAGGTGAATTAGAGTATACTCGTCTTGCTCGACGATTAAAACAATGTTGAACTAAACCAAAAACTGGGAAATGTTCGAGGGAAGCAAGTAAATTCCATTGTTTTGTTTAAAAACAGGAAAATTTGCAGTAGAAGATAAAAGTGGAAAAATTATATTCGAAATGAATACTTTATTAAGCGCAATCTGCTTTTTTTTTTGTTTCTTTTCAAAAGATATTTTAAAATTTTTTTGAAATTTTTCGGAATTTAATTGTAAAAAGTCTCATTTCATTCGTGCACTAGACAATAATGTACAAGTAGAATGTTTGTGAACAGAGAAAAACTTCTGTAGATATGTTCTTGTTGCCCTGCATGAATGCTTCTTCGGTGAAATATTAATTTTGTAAGTAATGAAAAAAAAAGCGATCATCGGGAATCGATAAAAATGAAGAAGTAAGATCCTATTTGAGAATAAAAGTTACTGTTCTGTGAAGACCAATGATTTAATTCATTCTTAGTTAGTGAAGATTTGTGTTGAGTAACGTTTCCACAAAGAATTAATCAGGTGTTGAAAGGTTTGAAATCCAAATCCTGAACCCATACACAGCAAGTTTATCCTGAAAAAAAAAGTCGAATTTGCCACAGTGGTGTGCGCTCTTTTTTATGCAGCTGATTGCCCATGGCGGGCGATTTATATTTGGAAATAAACTACGGCAATTAAGATCGGCTCGATTAAACTAACGAATAGATCCAATCGGAAATAAATCGTGTTAACGTTACTTCAACATGTGGGAAACAAAAATCGACCATAACGGTGGTGCCAAGCAGTGACTTGGGTGAAAACCTCCTATTAATCTTGTAACCCCAAGAGTATCTAATTTCTTCCTACAATATCATCCCTGAATCAAACATTAAGGTCATGGGAATGAAAGAAATGATCCCAATTATAGAAGCTTTTGCTTGTTAAACATCGTCTTCTTTTAATCACTGTAGGAAATGTATAGAAATCAGCAAAGGGAATATGCTTACTGATTTTTGATTGTAGGGGGTAAATGGTAGAGCATCGTAGCGCAGAATCTGACGGCCTGAGGTTCTATTCCTAATGGGAGTTCTATTTTGTCCCACGCTCGTGATGAGGCGAAGAAACATCTCTGTAGCCCTGCCGTTTGTTTCTTCCGCAAATGGGCGTTTTTCACACGAGGTTAAAACGCTCTGTTGGTGCAAGGACGGCTTATAATAATGTCGACTGTTTTTAGTCTTGCTGAACACTCAATTGTGCTTACTGTTGTCTTTTGGAATTTGGTTTTGGCTTCTCGTGGTATTCAATAGACTATATTTTTATGATTGTAACTCAGAGTTCGGAAATTGTTGTATATATGTCGGCCAAACTCCGCGCAGGTATAGTAATAATAATAATGATAATAATAATAATAATAATAATAATAATAATGATAATAATAGCAATGATAATAATATTTATACAGGGGCGAACACACAGTAAGTGGTTTTCAGTACGGCCCTGTGGAGAATATTATGATTTATGTAGTAAAAATGTGATAAGCTATACAGAATAAAGCTATTCAAACATAAAACATACGATATAGATAAGTGAAAATATAATACAATTAAGGCATGCGTTCCAAGTTCTTTTTGAAAAGTAGATTAGATTTAGTTTCCTGTATTTCAAAACTTGGGAGGTTAAAGTCGAAAGCTGCAAGGCTTTATCAAAGTATTTATATGAGCGGTATTCGATAATTCGCGACCTTTGCAACACCTGTTTGGGTGATGCAGAGGTAAATGAATCATGCCTTTATTGACGGCACGATGGCTGTTGTTTATAAAGATGAGGTCAGTTAGTGATGCATTGTTTACAGTTACTCTACTTATTCTAGTTAAGTCTCCTATCGAGTAATTTTTCCAATTGAGTCTCGAAGCTAATCGGGGATTGCATTTATTTTGGTTTACTTCGCTCTGTCCAAAATATTGGTCCAAAAAACTCGTGCCACCATCTCAACCAATCAGATGAAAATATAAATCCAGTCACGACTTGGTCGCTCCCGTTTTCCCGCGTTGGCATTTTGGTTGCTTTTACTTTGAGGTCCCAATGGCTCTTAAAGGTGTTTCCCTTTCTTCTGACTGGCAGTTGTGCTCTATTTGCATGCATAAAGAACGCAAGAACCACACATCTCTGTTGCCAAGCAAATGCATTTATTTCAGTGAGTATAAAAATGAATAAATAGTATGATATATCTGTTTGAATAAACATCTCCCCATAACCATATGTTCCAACCAAAATAGTTTACCATGAATATTCTTACAGAACAATAAGTTTTGTATTCAATGTGAATAGTCTATATGAGAAGCTGTTCGAATGAACCTCTTCATATCCTTGAAAAAATAGACCTACTCCAAGTATATATTAAAATAGAAAGTTGCAAATTTCAAATAAATCAAATTCAAGCAAGCGTTTGTTTTTATCCATAATGTCGTTTTCTAGCGATTAAAAACTTGATCTTTCCAGGTCACCGTCAACTGATCTCATACCGGGCAAATCTGACTAAGCTGAACTTTGGTATTAAAGCAGGATCTTGGAGTGAGTTTTATGTCGGAAACAACTTCGTTTAGGTAATCCAAGAAGACATAATTTCGAACTACCACTGCTCGACTTGCCGACAATCCCTGAAAGAAATGAACGAAAGAAAAAATTGGTTAATTCGTCGATAAACCATTAATTGTTGTTTGTTAATTTCTGCGAACAACTTAAAAAAGCTTTGATAGCTTCGGAGTTTTTTTTTTTTATTTGTCTTTTTATTATTCACTCATCCTTTCGCCCTCTGAAAATTTCAGTTTACCGCAGGAAGGCGTTTGACTTTTCAGAAAACACTTAAATATCCCCAGTCACATTAATTTTGATTAAAGAGAGTTTCAGATCATGATTATCTCTTTCCTCCCTAACTCTGGAATTGACGCTCTCCACACTGTTCTTTTTGAACTTCCTAAGGTGCTGATATGGAGAATTTGTTTGACAATTCACAGCTTTAATTTGTAATGATTTCCTTCATTCTTGTGACCATAATGTTTGACTAGATGCTAGTCACTGTTAGGGGTTTAAGTGTCAGAGGAGCTGAGGAAACTTTATGCTGGTTTAATTCCACCAATCATATCGCTGTATCAAATTCTTACCGACTGTTTCAGTTGCCTCTTGGCTAGTGCTGTCATTCTTGTCATGTCCACAGATGTCAGTTTAAATGGTTTCAGGGAAATACTTTGACGACGGGCCTGAAGACAGATTTTGAAAAGAAACCTTGACAGTCATTTTCAGAACATGTGTATCGGTTTTAGTTAAAACACTTAATGTGATGGACTCCTCAGACTTGTTAAGAGTATTAACCAGAGCGAAGTAGCGGATCTATCTTTTCCCAGTATGACCTAGTCGTGAAATCTAATAAATTTAGTGTTTATAATCCCATAAAAGCCACTGTAAAATGTGTAAGCGAAGCATGACTCAAAAGTCTCCGCCACTTTTCGCGTCAAAAGTGTCGTACTTAAACATTTTCAGTTTTGCATATGAAAAAAGGTTCTGAAGTAAACGTACTCATGTGTATTTACAGAAAATACACAAGAATAACTTTAACCAAACTTACATATATGTAAATGTCCTTAATAGCTGTCTCCAGGAGTTGATGTAATCCATGGACTGTCTTGTTCAACGTGTTTCCCGATGACTTGCAGTTAAAGTGTGGCCGTTTAAGGCTTTCCATGACAACCTCGAGTGGTGCCATAAAGTTCTTCAACGATGTCAAACACTTTTGTGCCTTCTGGCTGTTATTCTGTTGATCAGTTAAAATTCACAGGCTATTTTTTGATAAACGTGATTGGTTGATAAAAATATGGTCTCTCAAAACAAAAGTCGTGGAACCATAAGAGTAGTGAGCTCATTTCAACCCTCGCCAAACTCAAGCTACAGTGACTCTAGGTCTGAGTCGGGCCCAAAACATATTTATGCCTGCGAATATAAACTCCTAACCCCTTATTAAACGAGTATGAGGGCTATACTTGGGTGTATTCGTCCGATGTCCCGACAGTACAAACTGACCGCTCGAGATTCGTGCAAAAACGACTGAGGACCAATATTCCCTACTACGGTTCGAGCTAGTGGGTAAGTTACCACAATTATGGCAGAATTAATTATTGAGTTTACCTCAAGACTACCTTGCGATATAATGAATTTTTTTAGTACCCACCATGCTAGGCCAGTTGTCGATATCTGTCGGAAGAAGACTCTTCATAGCCAATCCAAGACTTCTTCCACGCTGGAGACCAGCGGGGTTATGGGCTGCTCTCTGTATCCATCGATCAGACAAAAACAAAAACGAAAACAGCAATACATAAATAGTTCTGTTAGTGAATACGTGCCTGAAGTGATTGATATCATTTTGTTCATATATCTTGAAAAAGCGATTCGAAAATGCACTGACAGCACTCTTTTTAAGATCTTGAGAATAAAAATTGTAGGCTAAAAACTAGAACAAATAGTGCACGTGTCGAATGGGAGAAAAGGTTTGAATTTTCTGTGACGGGAATCCTCCAACTGAAATTGCATACAAGATGTGGGACAAACGAAATGCCTCACCCCTGAAAGGGAGCTTTTTGTTTTGTTTCCTTCATAAACAATTGCAAGTTATTAAAACCGCCCTCCATTGCAGATGACTTTATGAAGACAAGATCACTTTAACCCTTAACCTCCAAAAGTGATTAACATGTAGTTCCTCCCTATAATATCCATACATTATCTAGCAAACATGGAGTGAAGATACTCAGTCTCAACGGGTACAGGTTTTTATCTTGATCTAAAACCAAATCTCATAACTGATTACGTGTGCGGCAGCGAGAGGGGAGAATTGACAATTAAATCTTGGGAGTTAAGAGTTAGTTGCGATGAACAAGCTTTTTGAAAACTGTACTTACGTAACATGTCTCTGCGGCATCTGAGGTTTCAAAAAGGCAGTGAAAAACTGGATCACGAATTGATCTCCCATTACCAAAGGCAAAACTGATCACAAAGATAGTGGCACAAAGGAAGAAAGCTTTATCTGGTTAAAAAGATAAAACAGAAAATAAATTGAAAAGAACCACCACAACTGTTAACAACAGTTACTATTTTTGTTTCAGTTTTGTTGGTAAAACTAACACTTGACGGGTACAAGTTTCTATGTTGATCTAACACCAAATTCTTGTACCTATTTACAAAGAAATGTGTAACAGTTAAAGAGGAGAATTAACAATCAGATCTTGAAGGTTAAATAGTCAAGAAAGCCGCTGGCGAGAAGATCGAAATAATTGCTAATTTAGGGGCGATTGTAAGCTTTCTCACCTCTCTTTGCGTAGCTTTTATTGGTTTCATTTTAATCCTGATTACATAGTATTGAAACCGTAAAACCTTTGAATTTTCCGCAATAGCTTATTCATCCATCTGGAGTTTGATGACGTTCCGCCTTTATTGTCCTCAACCAAAAATAGAAGTTTATCTGTTTTACAAAGGAGGGTTTACGAAGGCCGAATCTCAACTTTACTGAATGAAACCATTTCCTCTGTTCAGGTCATCCCAGTACACCTTGGTCATTTAAGGCCAAGAAGTAGTGTGCCTTCTGCCAGAAACTAATTAAAGTTTCATGAAAATTAAGCGAAATTTTGACATTGTGAAATAATTCGATTCCTTAATTACGTCACACTTGAAAAATATTTATGAACAAAAATAGTTAGATTCCAGTAATATTTTACATAGAATAACTTTTGACGCACTGTTTTTGTCATAAAATCGATTTAGCGCAGCAGCCAATTGTCAGTCAATATCTTTTGTTTGGTGAAATTTTTGTTCAGTGAAATATTCAAACTTGGAATATTGTAAAACTTAATGAAAATTAAACGAAACCGTGACATCGTGAAAATAATTCGTCCCATACAATACCTCGCACGCGAAAAATAATTGTAAACAAAAATGATTTTAAAATTTTTTCTTACATTTTGCACATGAAATAGTTTCTGACACTATTTTGTTTGATAAAATTGCTTTAGCACAGTGACCAAATTTCATACAGTATTCATTCCTATCAGTCAAAGTGTTCGTTCATTTGGCCTATCTAATTTGAAAAGTGGTTTTAGTCACGATAGTAATATCATTTGAAATGTTCTGTTATGTTATGCCCCAGCTATAATTACCTCTTTATCTTCAAACCCTCTTCAATACTCTATTACACTATGTTAAACACCGAGAGATCAAGATATAATTATGAAATCTCATAAGAACCGATTACTAATTACCACGTTGCTTTAGTGCCCTGGGGCGATTAATGAACACTTATAACTGGCAACAGAAACTGCAACATGATTGTTGACGTCAATGACAACGGTTTGTCGTCGTTGACACAGGAAATCAAAGCGATTTCGACGCAAAATGTCTAATCTTTTCTTTTGAAACGTTTGGCGCGAGTTTTCCGCAAAGCAACTCAGCTGTGAAATGGCCTTTCTTTACGTTTCCAAAGGAGTGTATGTAAGTCAATTGAAGTTTGGTTAATTAAGCTTTGCTTATTATTATCAATTGTATAAACAACTGCAACTAATATAATTCCTTAGAATGGCTTTAAATCAAAAATTTTATAAGCTTCACTCAAATGTCGTAATGATATACCCTATTATTAGAACTAAATAATTAACGTTGATAAGATAATGAATAAGTTTTCAAATCATCTTTGTTACAAAATTTCATTTCTTTAGCCAGTTCGATTCTCCATCTCATGGTTGACTGAATTATCCAAAGCTATGATTTTACTACAAAGTTACTGGTACTAAAAACTTCTGAATTGGTAAACTCATTCTTCATTCGGTATATCTTGAGAATATTCATTCAGGGCTCGATATGTGCAACATCTAAATAAAACGATATTTTAGATAAATTCAGTTTCATTATTACTGAAATTACTCTGCTATTTCGAACGTGTAACGCTTATAGAAATTTGTGAGATCCAATAGGAGCGCGAGAACTACCTCGTCGGTGTTCATATAAGCGCTGTATAAAACGATTTTCATAAATATTTAACTCTTTCGTATTGAAATAAAGAGAACTAGAAGATAGCGGAATGATCATTGAAAGGGATTTTTTTTTGGAGAAATTCGACCAGTCACAGAACGTTTAACTTTTGATGGCGGCAAAATTTCATTTATCAGAACAATAGCAAATTTTTGATTATGAAGTAAAAAAGCTAGTTTCCCTTAAAACCTCATTCACTAAGAATTTATTTTAATTGATCTTTGAGCAGTGTACCCAAAGTTTAGAGAGGTATTTCTTCTGATTCATGAACTGAGCGGTGGTTCCTTCATAATTTCATTTGCGCATCTTCCTTCAGTGGCATAAATTCGACGACAGTGTACAGAACTTGGTACAAACCATTAACTTATATGAATATGAGCAACGATGTATCCCCAATAAAGCACTACAGGTGAGAGAGAGACTTAACGGTGTTGTGCTAACAGATTAAATCACTTACCCATAATCATCTTTGACACTTGATTATTTTGTGTAACGTAACTCTTTTGAAATCACAAGCTTGTATTTTGAAGTGTAATAAGTGATGTTCACCAAGATAACTGAACAAGAGTAGAACCTTGCCTCTTTTATACATGTTGAGGGCGGATGTTCTCCGGCCTCTTTCCTCCTCCATGTACCCAACAGATAATTTTATCGTAAGGTATTACATTCCGTCATACTCCACTAAAAGGATGCTTTAAACATTGTCGTTAGACTCTCTTCCTGATTAAAGCTACGTGGGGAAGTAAGAACTGCTCAATATCCTGTTTCCAATGTTTTCAAATCCGTGCCCATCAATGCAACCAAGCGAATAAGGTGGAAGAAGTGGAGATTACTGGAAACTAAACAAAGGGGTTTCGGTTTTGATAGCACGATTCAATTTGACCTTAGCCATATAACCAGGAAGTTATCAGTCCCTAACATGATAACACCTATGGATTTTCCAGCGATTTTCTTACACTGTCATCGCACCCAATCAGTCATAGATACAATTTAGCCCCGAAAAAAAAAAGGAATGCGCATTCTTTAGAAAAGTTTTATAGAATGAAAATCGTATTTCTTGTCTAGAATCGTGCAGACAACTTTCATGTCTATAATGAAAAGATGAAATTCCTTGTTACGCAAGAAAATGACTCGAAACTACTCCAACAATCATGATTCTCCACGTCTAGCGACAATTCAGCAGTTTATGAACACACCTTGATTAAAAATAACTAAACAGCAGTGACGGAAATTTCGCAATTTCTTGCGCGATATCTGCTAAAAATAAGAAAATATGAATTCCATGACTTTTATTTCCCTTTTCAGTTACTTTTACTTAGCTCTCTACTTTTTAATTGCAGAACGTTACAAGCAGTTTAAACGTGCAATTATTTTCAACTCCATTGTTATTCATTCTCGTACTCGAAACCCCCAATTTCCAGTATATCTTAATCACGATTAAAATTAGCGTACAGCTTGATAGTTTAGCCATGCATACAAGAAAACCTCCAGACTTCCTGGAGAGGAGCCTAAAAGCGCAACCAAAAACTCTAACACATGCACGTAACGAAACCATTAAACGTGAATTCAGACACCATTCGGATTTAAAAATAAAATTACTTAATGATGTGCGAAACTTGTTAAGAACTGGTCAAAATAGAAATCGCGACATACTTGTGAATACGCTTTTGCAAGGGCAGTGCCCCTGCAAAATACACCTTGAGCCCCCGCTGTAAATAAGCAACATGATCGAATTTCCTGGGTACAATGAAGTCTGATAAGCCAGGTGCTACCCCGTATTCAATTACTAAATTTGTAACAAGATACCTTTTGTAAGAGGATGGATTGCATTATTATATTTTAGCTGCCTCAGCACATATACATAAACTACTAATTTAAGCTGAAGAAGCCTAAAGATGGGTGATTTGCGCTCATTAAATGGCTGTACTTTAAACATCTGTTTAGTGTAGGTTGTGGATTAAAACGAGAACGATGCTGATGGTTCTAAATCCTTTTTAAATTTTCTCATTCAAAGTAAATTTCTTACAGTCGTCGAAGTTGCTATTTACAAATAAGATTTCGATCGGGTCGAGAATTCAAGCTATTGTTAAATTCCATTTTAAACGTGTGACACACAAAACTCGTAGATAAGAGATGGGAAGTCAGTTCACAGCCGAAGGTATCCGCAAGGAAGGAGGACGTGACTTGGCGACACAAGCCGGT